CGTTGTTTGGCTATCTGCGCTCCAAGTTCGAGCGCATGACCAGCTCCAAGTCTAACACCACTTTATCTATTATAATTCTCCTTTTTTCAGTCGCGTTCATGCGCGCCCTAGTTCTCCCAGGCCTCCCCCAATCGATCCCCGATCTAGTAAAGCTATCCGGTTTCGCCCGCTCCTTCGAGCCACTGATATACTATTCAGAGAACGGCGTTCAGCAAATTGGCACCCTGCAAGAGACCGGTGTCGCAGTCTGGGACTTGAGTGAATCTGTCCGTGGCACAAACATGACCAGCGCACCCATCATCGTGCGCCAACTAGACGAGCTCTCCGACTCTCTCAAGTCCCTGTCCCTCGAGCTAACTCGCTTCTTCGCCAACGTTGATTCAGACATCGACTCCATCCTAATAGTAATGGACTGGGCCAAGCGCGAACTCGAAACCCTCTCCGCCCAGCCCCCAAGCACCCTCCCCACAATCGTCTTCGATAACATGCACAACATGCTCTCCCGCCTCGGTGCCCTCGAACGCGCAGCACAAGTCTCCGACAACGGTGTATCCGCAACCTCGACAACAACAACGCCCCTCGGCCACCTTGTGATGGCTGTCTTCGGGCCCACCTCCGCGCAGCGCACACGCACAACCCTAACACGCACCTTTACGGAGTTCCTCTCTGTACTGGAGGAATCAATAAATAGCGAACTCACCCACTCAACCGCACTCTTCGCGCTCTTCGAGTCCATCGACCGCCAATTTCTCAATATTCAGCGCACGGTCGTCCGCGAATCAGACGCCCAGGAGCGCGCTGAGGGCGAGATGCTCTCTTCTCTATGGACGCGTGTGCTAGGCCCCGATGCTGCGGCTGTTCGCAAATACGAGAAGAATAAGAAACTTCTCGCGAATGTGCGCAGTCGCACTGTCGCTAACAAGCACCTCCTCGTTGACCACCGCGGCCGACTCCTCACGCTGAAGGTTAATCTCGAGACGCTGCGCAGGAAGCTAGTTAGCCCGCTTGTGCGTCGGAATGACTCTGTTAGCTTTATCGGATCTGTTGATGGGGGAGGGGGGAGTGGAAACGGGAATTCTGGCTCTGCGGGCCGCATGCTTGGCTCCGTTGAGGCTGTTATCGACGGTCAGATCCGTGGGCTAGAGGGGACCTATGACTATCTGCGAACCGTCCGGGAGAAACAGAAAGCGAAGCTCATGGAGCTTGTTTATGGGGCAGGGAGGAAACCGAGTCGGGCTATGATTGATGGGTTCGAGGGAAGCGATGATGACGAGTGAAGGCTTGAGGTGTCCTGAACTTGTTGATTGTCTTTGGCTTTCTTTCAGTCTCCGTTTTAGGGGTTTGGGGGGGGGGGGGGGGGGGGTTCGGCATAGCATCCTGGTTTAGGGTTTCTTTTGTCTCTCCTCTCTGGTGTTCTAGGGCATCTGTGGCAGGGCATCCACGGCTGCGGGCTTTTCGTGGGAATTGGTGGCTTACCTGCTGTGCTTCTTTGAATGACTGCTTTGGTCTGATTTGTTAGTTCCGTGGCGAATGGGTTGGATTGTGAGGGAACAGGATAGAGACATGTGGCGCCAGCTGGTTTATTTTCACTTCATGGTACCGTGCAGCTATGGGGTTCTTTTGTGGATGTATGAATGAATCTTCTTGCTGTTCATAGTCCTTGTCCTTGTGCATCTTTCATATACCGCCCTTGTTTATGCATAGACTAGTCCTCTACACGGTTTATGCTTCCCCTAGGTGTTATATTGTCCTAGAGTGATCAGCCTGGCATGTCTTGGTTTTAATAGCTCATGATCATCTTTTTAGCTTCAACACCGACGATGAAGATACGTGTCCCAAAATTAAAAAAAAATCTCAAAAGACACGAAAGAAGAGGCCGTATATGCAGCTGACTACAGTAGCTCAGGAGAAGGCCAACCCGACCTGTAATACCTTAACCACACCCTCAAATCCCTTCGGGTTCTCCACAAGACTAACAGACAAACAGGAATGTGCTTGACGGAGAAAACTCTGGACTCATGGAAAAGGGAAGTGATCGAGTAGATTGTGTGCTGGGCTGGGAGACTGCTCGACCGAAATCAGGATAATCGTTTCGTCAACTGCGAACTATGATGATGATGATGATGATGAATTCATTGACCCGATTTAGCTCGCTATTACATACATGCTGCTATGCGGGGGTTTCAACTGCGAACTACTCATCTACCAATACCCCCCCCCCCCCCCAAAAAACGAACCAAAACAAAAGCCAACTGCAACGCTCCTTGCACATCTGCCTGATGGTGTCCCAGATAGATTGCCACTGATCGCCAGTCATGTCATCTTCGCCATTCCTCCAAGACAAAGCCTGATTGCGGTGGCCGCGGACAGGTGTGGCTGGGACTATTCGAAGCTATTGCAAAGTAGATGGGCATGGAGGCTCAACACTTGGGAAGTTTCATCAACATCACAGTCCTGTTTGTTTAAATCCATAGATACCTGTGATGTTGACTCGATTTGAACAGAGTACTAAGTCGAGCATGGCTTTTGGACAAAACACAAGACAAAATGAAGAGACTGATCCGTTGATATCGCAGCCAATGCCGATCTGAGCCAACTCGAATCACACATAAGCCAGAGCTCGTTTTCGGCGTTGCCCTCTCAACAGAATCCAACCTATATCCCAACTTCCAAAATCAGGCCAGTTCATTCCGACGACCTCGAAATCAGTATTTTGGTGGCACTGCCAGAGCATACAATCACTCAAACGGTACACCCCGGATGTGCGTACAAGAAGGTCCAGCGGTGGAAATCCTATAAACATGTGCTCTGTCAACGACTTTGCCGTGATCTTAGTAGGGAAGCCGGAGTCAGCAACAGTCTCTCTGATAGCAGAGGCAATCTCATCCCTGCCAGCATAAGCGACACAGATATTCACCATCTTGCCCCGGTGATGTTTCGTAGCATGCACTGTCTTGGAAATCGCTTTCCCAACGTGATCTTCCAGCAACTCCAAACGACCCAAGACCCGGATTGTAAGGCTATGTTTCTTTACCAATGGGTTATTCTCGTCCATTTCTCCAAGTGTCCCTTCAAGCAACTTCATCAGAACTTCGACCTGCTCTTTTGGTCTATTGAAGTTTTCAAGGCTGAACGCGTAGAGGGATATAACATGGACTCCGCAATCGAAGCATGTATCCAAGATCTGGTTGCGTTAGTTATCTGGGTAGTTGAGAACCTTGGTATTTCCTATAATGTACATTCACCAGGGCTTTCGCACCAGCCAAATAGCCCGATGCCATGGACATGTTGTTCTCTTTTGCATATCCCCGGTTTCCATCCATAATGAACGCTACATGTTGTGGGATGGGGCCTTGGGCTAAGGTCACCAATGCGAATTGGTTGATACGTGTAAAGGCAAGCTCTAGAGCTTTATAGAGGAGGTGGAAGATGGGGCATTGGATTGAGTAGGATGGCTCGAAATTGGAAAAATAAATATTAAAAAAAAAAAATAAATAAAAATTACACGTCAGTCGGCAGTTTGCACGGAGCTCGAGCTTCTTTTCTCGAGGGATCCGCGACATGTCTCACAAGCTACTGGCATGTATACGTTTTAATTTTAGACGATCGTATTTATTGGGTGAGTCTTGGACATTGTCTAACCGTAGAGACAGTAGATACGTGACCATATCTATAGTCGCGTTGGATGTTCGTTGCATGCCTCACGACTGAAATTGCCCTTCCATAGGAACTAGGCCCATGTTAACCTTTGGGCTTAGCTCTCTGCACGTTTCAGAAGACACTGTCAAAGTAGGAAAAGCAATTGATAACCTCCAGGGCTGCAAAAACAACCCAACACTGCGGTGTCACTGGTGTGACCCTATCTTGCCCTCAGGTATGACTTTGCAAGTTGGTGTCGTGAATGCGGTGTTGTATTGAGAAAGTGTGTACCACTCCATCATGAATTCCAAGATACGATGGGATTAGTTACTGTTTATCACCACCCTCCTGAGGCTTGTGTCAAGAGCGGCATTTCGGTCTAAATATCGCTTGCATTATGTCGAACTCAGAGGCTGGATATATGATGCGAGACCATTTTCTAGGCGAGGAAACTAATGATAAGGTATGAGATACTCAAACGAGGAGGAATAGTAATCTTTCCGTCTCAGGATTGTCATTGTGATATGAGTAAACTGTCCATTTGATAGAAACGGGCAGTTGATTGTCCTTTAGGCCGTGGTAAGGCGGGAGTTTGAACAAGCAGGAGTTGTCAAAGTGTTGGATTTCAACTGATTCCTGTAGTAACGACGTGTTGAAGCTTTTCTCGCATCTGTCCATGTCCAGAACCGGCAAGGCTACACTTGGACTGGGATGAGCTGGGCCTGTTGTTGGGCAGAGCCAAACCCCTTGTTATCTTTTGATTACTTGAGGTCGCTTGCAATTGCCTTGATGGATATTGAATGTGTTTGTTACGGAGAAAGGAGCTGCAGTAAACCCTAGACGGGACGTGGATTGGTCGACGGAGAAATCTGAACGAAATCCAGCGAGACTGAACGGCGAGTATCAAGGAGAGTCCGGGGAATTGGTGTTTATTCCACCCACCAAAACGGTCACGGAATCGAGTTGAATACTAAGAGCGTCCTGTTTGGCGATGGACATTGTGGAGATGCCACTTTCATTGCTTTGAAGAATAAGGAGACTGGACCGACGGAGCTTACATACTAATACTAGGTGTAGTTGTTTTGTATCGGAATGTAAGAGTGATGCAAGTCAGGAGGCTCAGGACTTTGGTAGACTGTATCAGGTCGCTTGCTAATTTTCGATCGTTGCGATCTAGAATTCAAGAGAACCAGAACAGACTATCTGGATTTGGGTGACTTGACTGAATTGCATGTGAATAAATCCTTCGGCACAAGTAGTCCATCTCGGCTTCCGTCTCCTTGGCTGATGATTGAAAGCCCCCAGTAGGCCTTGGTGGTAGGAAACCTAGGCTCAAAGTTTGCCCCAAGCCCCCTCTTCAATCAACCGAGCAAGTCCACTGCGCTGTTTCGGACGATTTGAGGACCAAGGACTGCGGCCAACTCGGCGATGATTCCTTTGATGGACATTGGTGCAGTCATTGACATATTTTCCCAATTGACCAGATCCTAGTTGAAGTTAGCAAAGAAATCCCAAGGAGGCTCGGGGGAAAAAAACAATTGTAGTGTACCTTCATGTGAACGAAGTTGTTATTGAAGAACAACAGCCAATGATCCAGGTCAAGTGCTTCAACTTGAGGAACAGTGAGAACACCGGGCATGCCGATATCAAAGAGGGAAACCTCCTCCAGATCGACGTCATTTTCCGGGACCAGAGGTGCAGGAGAGAACCCTCGATCCCGAGATAAAGAGACATAGGAACGGGAATTAAGCTTCTCCGTCATTTCGCCATCGAGCGGATCCCAGTCGCAGGATTCAGGGTCTGAGTAACAGAAAAAAAAAGAGTCAGATGTCATGCACGATTTTCCTGTAGTACCAAAAAAGGATGGACTAAGACGAAGGCACAAATGGAAACCTACCAAGGATGTACTGGGGGCGGAAATTGGCCTTGTAACGCATCTTTTGGCAGGAGTGGATGTAGTATCCTATATATTCATGGTTAGAAGAGGAACTCTAGTCCCACCATTGCGACCTACCCATGTAGTAATAGAGATACTGATTCTCAATGGAGAAAGCAATTTCACGCATGGCGCTCAGCTTGCCAATTTCCCATTGCTCGTAGGCGGGATCGTAGCTGTGGTACCAAATGTCAGCTTATCACATTTTGCGGGTGCAGTCAGCCGTCAGCTTACAAGACATAGACGGAGCTAACGCCGTTGGGGACAAGGTCCAACACGGCAACAGCAATGAGCTCGCCATCCAGACGATAACATTGATGCCATGAACCGAGTTTTTTCTGAGAAGAATTGGCAGCTGTCAGGGGATTCGGAGCTCGCTTGAGGCCTGTGCATAAGAAGCGTTGAAATTCCTTGGGTTTCCAGTGAGAGACATCCTCTTTATGGATGGCCGTTTGGTACTTGCGGAACAGTTCAAACTTTGCCTGAGACACAGAGTCACCTTCGATGGTGACTTCGAAGCGGTGCGCCGGTTCAATGGGAAGCTTGGTAGCAGGGTCAATGGGCCGTTTGATATAGTCGTACTCGCTTTGGTGGACAGCGGACAGAAGGTCGAAGTTGCACTTGCGATGCCTCTTCTCTCTATGCGTTGATTAGCATCCATCGGATAGCAACGATTGGACAAGTCTAGAATTCCCTACTCGCGGGTTCGCGGACAAAGCCGGGCTGCCTTTCGCATATACTCCGAACCTAGGATAAATTTATTCCACTTGTTGATGGCCTTGCGCTGATCGCGGCGGGGCCGATAAGCGGATGCCTCTAGTCTCAAAGTATAGTGAGGGCAACAAGACCGAAGCAGATTTTGTTTGTAGTAGAGGTTTCCCGATCTGAGGATGTCAGTATGGTCTGATGAGTTGCAGGGAAATTAAACCCGGGAGGGAAATCAGACCGTCGCCAACCGCCATTGATCAGCTCTTCATAATGTTCCGAGAGTACGAACGTGGAGCTGGTGTAGTACGAAACACCTTTTTACATGTCAGCAATCCGTGCCTAACCTTGCCCTGGAAGAAAATGGGCGAAGCAAAGCAGGGGTAGAGGCAACAAACTTCCATCTTTGGACTTGCAGTAACCACACGAGTTCTTTTGGTAACCTTAGAGGATCACAATACATTAGTCTTTGCATAAGAGGGGTTGGACGATCAAAGAGCTGCAGGCAATTGGTGTTGAGACCCCCGCCAATTTCCCTTAAGCGATCGCAGCCTGGGCCAGTGGAAGCGCCACGGGGTAACAGAAGTCTGTCTCAGTGGTTCCCTGCGGGAGAGTGGGACGTACCTAGTGGGCGGAAGAGTGACAATTCTCGCGGGCGTTCAGCGTCAACCCGTTGCATCTTGAGATTTGGTAGGTGTTAGCGTGCACCAGGGAGTGGATGTGAGTTGTAGTTCTCGGGAGAGAGGGAGACAGTGTGAAAGATGAGGTCGGTGAAATCGGCGGGGGAGTTGTCAATCGTGGGAATACGGTCTATACGGCAAGGGGGATACCGGCTAGATTTGTACTTTTATGGTTGATTCAGTCTCTAGTTTTTTAACTTGCATATCTCATCTCTTAAGCCATCGGGATAAACTAGCTTCTGGTCAAGTCAAATTCCCTCCATCTCGGTACCAGGAAATCCTACAGGTTTTAACCCGACGCAGATTTAGAGGGGTTAAATTGAATGATCAGAATAGTTATCATAGTAATAGGTAACGTTAGGCTATAGCAGATCATGGCAAAGGCAGAACATAGCTAACGTTGGTAGATTGGAACAGATGTGGGAGCAAATCTACGGAGCAGAGACAGCTCAACTAGTCGGAGTCACATGACCATCTATAGAACCCCCCCAAAAAAAGGAGAGTTCTATAATCATTGAACTGGATATCCACACTTTATAGTGACCATATTGACTATAATGGACCATGTAACAAAGACGCAAAGAAGTAAAAAAAGAAAAGAATTCAAAAAAAGGGGAAAGAAAAATTCAAAAAAAATCCAAAAAAAAAAAAAACGTACCTTGACTCTTTTCCCGGACTGCGCCGCCGTGCCCCTCCATTCCCACTTCTCATCTTTTCTCCATTCCTCAATAACCTCCCATTTCTTAGATCTTCTTTTGAAAACCATGCCTATTTCCACTTACCATTCCAATCCCCCGTCAGGCATGAACGGGAAAACCTGATATCCATTGCCCATCTCCGCAATATTCAAAGAGAAAAAAATTTCCCCCGACCGCTTTCGCGCTGCACTCCCGCTCCTCTACACCAACCTAGACACCTGGAGCTTCTTCTCTCACCTCAGAGACCTGATAGGCTCCGAGGGAGGTTGCGAGAGCATCATCTATTGGGTTTCCCCTGATATTTTTGATATCCTTGGCCTTTCCACACCTTTTCTCCCTTTCTTCATTTCCCCGGAGACTGTCCATCCCCACCAAACCCGGAGGAAATTCCAAGGATACTCAATTGTCTCTTACAATGGCTCAAATACGGTCGATGGAAGCCCGCGTTGGGCGGAAAAACCAACGTGAGTTCTTGCTGATATCGTTTTGCGGCTGCGCACGTGGGGGGGGGGGGGGAACCCGTCCCCCTTACGTCTACACTGTCCCTGTGTCCCCTGACTCTAACGGCTTGTCATAGGCTACGGCTCAAAAGGCGAGCGACTTGTAGCCGGTGTTGTCCCTATATCCGCCGACAAGACCAAAGTCCTCATGATTCAGTCCGCAGGACCCGGAGGCTGGGTACTCCCTAAGGGTGGATGGGAGCTGGATGAAAAAACCGCCGACCAGGCTGCATGTCGTGAGGCCTGGGAGGAAGCCGGTGTTATCTGTGTCGTGATCAGAGATCTGGGTCTCATCCCGGACATGAGACCCTCCGGCCTTCTTACCGCGCAAGCCCCCAAGGCATCATACCAATTCTTTGAAGTCACTGTCGAGCGAGAGGAAACCGAGTGGCCTGAAATGCACAAGCGGAAACGTCAATGGGTCTCTTACGCACAAGCGGCCACTGCCCTTGCAAATCGACCCGAGTTGCTTGAAGCGTTAAATCGCAGCTCGTTGAAGCGGTAACCCCTATCGCGTGCACATTCAGTTCTCTTGCACATTGAAGACTCTCCCCTCCTCATTTTTCTACCTCTACGTGCATCGCTATTCCGAGAGAGCTTCTCCCTGATAATGACTCGCCATGACCAACTCCAAAAACCGGTGGCTTCGTTGCTTCAACTGTTGGCTTTGTCTCCCTTTTACCTTTTACCTTTTTTTTTTGCATCTTTGACGGGCTGCCGCTACCCGTCCACTGTTTCATTTGCGAATGAACCATCTGAGCCTCTTCAGTTTTGCTCTGTCTCCCTCTGATAGACGCCTTTTGCAAGCAGACTTGAAAGCTTTGGGACGTTTTTCCATTGATACTGGAGGATACCTTACTTTGTGATATCGGACTATTTTATCTGAATCCATTGCTTGCACTGTTTAATTGCCAGATTTGACTTGAGCGCACTTTCCTTAGTTCTAGACACCAGTCTTTTGGATGGATCCAGTGTCCATACTCAGCAAGTGAATCAAATCCGAACCACTTTCTCTAATCTCTAGTCTGAGAAGGAGAAGAAAGGAATGGACAAAAGAGAAGCGAGATCATCTTCTTAAAATTGTAAATGTAAAAAAAAAGGAACGACTTGATTCTTCACTCCAGAGGGTGGGACCCAATTAGGCAAAGCGTAAAAAGCTGTCTCCGAGGGAGCAAATCCGCGTGCCCTCAAGCCAACCACTTCGCGCTCGAATCATCTACCACACCAGCTCTGATTGCCCTGTCCTTCGCCCTTGCACCCCGCACTCTTCAACCTGCCCTCTTACTGTACTGCCCCACCGCTAAACACCTCCAGCTCCAGACAAGGGTGGCGGCGAGCAGCGCTGCCGCATACATACCAACATGGATTACGAAATGGATCTCGAGCCCACAGGGCCCCAAGTCACAGTCCGCGAAGTAAGCCGAGACGTTTCTAAAAGTAGGAGGATACAAGACTCACAAATCCCACAGGCGGAGCCCTACCGCGTCGACTTCAGGCTGACCGCAGTCGACCTCGCATTCGCCAACTCCCTCCGACGAACCATCCTCGCCGAAGTGCCCACTCTGGCACTCGACCTGATCGAAATCGAAAGCAACACTTCTGTTCTCCCCGATGAATTCCTCGCCCACCGCCTCGGTATGATCCCCTTGAACTCGTACAACTGCGACCAAGACCTCGACTACACACGAGACTGCGACTGCGAAGACCACTGTGTGCGCTGCAGCGTGACGCTGTCTCTGCACGCGCGCTGCGGTAGCGGCATCATGTCTGTTTACGCACGGGATCTGATTGTCGTTGGCGAGCGAATTAACGATAAGATTGGCGATCCGGTTACCACTGACCCGGAGAACAAGGGTCCCTTAATCTGTAAGCTGCGGAAAGGACAGGAGATTAAAATGACTTGTCTGGCAAAGAAGGGAACTGCTAAGGAGCATGCCAAGTGGGCGCCCACTGCCGCAGTCGGCTTTGAATATGATCCCAACAACAACCTCCGCCATGTGGACTACTGGTATGAGCAGGATGCGGCGAAGGAATGGTACGTAGTTTGAGTGTCGATGGAATATCTACGAGGCTACTTTGATCGATTTGCTGACAACGGATTTCTGCAGGCCTATCTCGGAAAACGCTGCCTGGGAACCCGCTGCCAACCCCGACCAGCCCTTCGACTACGATGCTGAACCTAACTGTTTCTACTTTGACGTGGAGAGCATCGGTAACCTCGAGCCAGATATGATTATCCAGCAGGGTATCGTGTCGCTCCAGCGCAAACTCGCAACCACCGTGTCTGTCCTCTTAGGCGAAGGCGAGGATGGACACGCCGGAGGCGCTGAAGATGCCGAGATGATGGGTGCCAATGACCCTGATGCTTATGAGCCACCCGAGGGCATTGACGGAAACATGACTGCATACGGGAACGGTGCGGCTAGTGCTTGGGGCGCTAGTGCACAGACACCGTACGGTGCTACGCCTTACGGGCAGAGCAGCTATGGGTTCTAAACGTGCATACCCCAGCAAGAAAAATAGAGCTCGAGCATGCGCAATGGAGTTTTGATTTGGTAAATTGGGGCGCACTCTGGAGTTTTCCGTTCTTTGTATCTTTTGCTTTTGGGGACGATCTTCTGGTCCTAGAGAATGACTGCTCTCTCTCTCTCTCTGTATCTCAACTATCTACCCGGTGGTTCAGTGGACACTGAACATGAAAATACTCAATATCATGGAACTTTTGCGAAGACTAACTCTCTTTCTCAAAGGATCACTTATCTTGTGGGTGAAAACGTAAACGCTCTAAACTACTGACCACGCATGAAGACCCGGATGCCAGTGATGTGCTAAACCCGTACACTCTTGTCTCGTTACAGAGAGCCCCAGGCTTGTAACCAGCATCAGATTGGAACAATCGCCGAGCCCGTCAAAAGCGTTTGTATTCTAGCGTCTACAACTCCACAATCCGTCTAGGACTAGGCGGGGGTCCATTCGAAGCCGAGAGCAGTCCTGATATGTCATTCTGCATACTCCCGACGAATGACTTGTGTATGTGCCTAGATCTAAGCAAGCTCATATTACAAGGATTGCCAAGCTAACGAGTGCAAGACGGATGGCGGTCGACGTCAAATTAATCAGTTCCGATTAGCAGGTTCAACCCAATGCCTACTTGGAGGGGATCAAATTTGAAGATCAGAAATGTTGATTTTGAAATCTTATCAAGCATAGGAAAAACGTCTAGCAAATCTCGAACCAGCTGCTAAAATGCCCATCCTTTCCCAACGCCTGCCATGCCACAGAGGCGATGGCTATACACCAGAAACAATCATGCCTCGCTAAATTTGCACAATGTTAAACACTCAAACAGTATTCCCAGAAAACGCTCTACTCCATCAACTCAATCGGCGGACGCGAAGTCTTGGGCGGCATTTGGTTAACAGACAGCTCAATAGGGCTCATCGCATTCATGTCGACATCCTCATCCTCGCCATCCATCGTCATATCCTCAACCGTCACCGCCGGAAGATTGGGGCTACTGCCATGGTCTTCGGGGTGGTAGATGATGGTACTGCTCCTGCTACGCTGCTGGGAGCCAGCAAGCGGCCAGCTGGACATACGCTTGTGAGAAGAGGTAGAGACCGGGGTTGCGGGGTCGGCTGCAGACGTCTCCGACTGCATCTGATCCGTCTTCAGCATGGATAGGGCAAGTGCCAAATCCATAGCGTGGACTTCCTTGTTGGGCGGGCCCTCGTTGCGCACGACCCATCCGTGCGGGGGGCTGGGCGGCGGCGAGATAAAGAACATCTTGGAGACTTGCGGGGCTTCCAGGAGTTTTGGCCGGCCGCCGTCTAGGATTGCGGTTGGCTCGCCGAAGTAGATACGGGGGTGCACGTCTCGGTTTAAGAGGCGCTGGCCGTCCAGGAGTTGGCGCACTGCTGTGGCATCGGCTTCGTTGTGGAAGGAGCACACGATGCGGCGCATTGAGGGGAGTGGGGAGAAAGAGTTGAGAGGTGCCACTGCAGTGATTTTATTGCGGATTTCTTCCAGTGCTGGGGGTTGGAACACGAGGAGATCGTGGAGATCGGTGATTAGGAGGGTGTTGGATGGTAGTGATGGTTGGGAGAGTGCCGGCATGTTGGCGATATCGAGAGAGAGAGATGGTCGCGGTGTGTGAAGTGAGCCAGTGAGTTTGGGTGACGAAGCCAGCGAGCGTGGAGGTGAAGCTGAAGTGGCCATTTTGTATGGGTTGGATGTTTTGGGTTGGAGGTTGGAGGTTGGAGGTTGGATAAGAAAACAATGAAGATTGCCACCGGATAAGAACTCTTTGAAAGAGAAGAAGTCTAGAATTTTTCAATGGACTGTGTCAAATGGCGAGAATGATTCTGAATGGTACTTGATAGACACAAGACTTTGGATTTGCCTCTCTTTAATACTGCCAGAGTAGATTTTCCCTCAAAATTAAGCCGTGAGGCGCAGCTATTGCCATCCCTGCACTGCCTCTATCCGTGTACGGAAGACGTTCCGGGACTCCATGTTCCTGGCGATCCATCTGTTCCCGGCTTACACCTTCAGATCAAAATGGCTGTGATCTACTCCGTACTATCTTCACTATTCCCCCCCCTTGATTTTCCTGGAACTCACTGGAATGAACTACAACGTTTCCAGCCATAGTGCTGTGGCTGCGCCATAACCGCCACACACTGCATTCATTTGATCTCCCATGCCAGCCACACCCCGTGACTTCCTCAACAGAAACTCCGCCCCCTTTTCTGCCGGACTCGGAGTACGACGTCTACGGCGTTGGATGGAGTCCTTCATCCATAGCCTCGCCTAAGCCCCATTGGCGTGTACGTTTTATCATTCTGCCTACGTCTTCTGGGTCTCCACTATCATGCATTGCCACCTACAACATAAGTTGTACAGTTTCTTTTCTAAGCCTTGGAAAAGAAACTCGGGGCGTTTACTTTTAGTCACAAGGCTATTCAATTGATCACTTAGGGATCGTGTACCCTCTCGTTTGGCGACTTCGCGAGATATGGTGAAAATAAAGGCTAAAAAATGATAACCTGGTCCCATCAGTTGTAGAGAACACCAGACCCCAGCCTTGTCTGAGTCGAATGTCACAAAATCCACTCGGATACTCCGAACGTGGCTTTTAAGGAAGAGATGTCTTTGAGATGTCTTACCAATTCAAAGGGCCAAGAAAATGGGACCGCATAGCATAAACACCATTCATGCAGGAGCTTGAATTATGTGCCAAATGAACCACGAGCACACCAATGACTCTATTCTACAACTTGCTTCCCTGAAGCTGAACCTCTCTAGCTATCTTTGGTTCCGACTCGGCAAGGCGTTCCCGTCGCTGCGCCCCTTCCAGTTCAACAACGACTTTGAACGCGGCTTCAACGTCGTGTTCCGATAGCCATTCCGTATACGGTCTGCCCGTCAGTCGAGCAACAAGTGCAGCATCCTCTTCTTCGGGTGTTGCAAAAAGAGTCCCTTTTTGGTTGATCTGGCTGTGCACAATACTCAGCAACCGAGCTGTATGCGGCTGCCTAGTTCGACTGTACAGCCCCAAGGCCTTGTTGATATGTCTAGTCGAGAACGTGGCATTCTTCGAAGCGAATACTTCTTTAAATGCAAGGGCGAGAGCGAGGGAGTCGTCTAGTGCCAGCGAGCCTCCGGCTGCGAAGGCACCGCCGTGAGCGTGGGCTGCGTCTCCGATTAGAGTCACTCGAGACCCCAAGACCCAGTTTGGGAGAGCATCTCCCGCGAAATTGGGATAAAGATTTGTGGATGGTGTGAGCCCTGCTAGAGCTTTGACTGTGGGGTTCCAGTCCTAGGGGCTGTGAGTCAAGTGGGGTTGAATAGGTCAATCGAATACGTATGTTGTACCTTGTACCTCTGTCTCAACAACTCCACACTTCCAAGTTGATCCCACGCAATACTTTTCTCCACCTCCTCTGCTGATCGCGGGTCATCGTATGTACCAACGGTGGTGTACTGGTTCTTCCCTGGGTCTTGTCAGATAGATGCAGCCATCAAATGCTGTTTGTTTTTCACTCACCAAGTCGAGACGCAAAGAAGGTATCGTTAGGACCCCACTGTCGATGATGTTAGTCATGGTTCCAATTCTCCCCGCCACCGGGATACCATACCCAATGCATGGAATCAGCAGGCAAATCAGGGATCTTGCCTTCGACCAACGAGGCATCAAAGGTCGCCCTCATGAATACCTTCCCACTGAATTGTAGCTTATAATCCGGGATGAAGGATTGTCTAACCCTCTTGTCTGAAGTTAGCGAAAGCGCAATATTAGTCAAGGTTATTTCACAAACCGATCGAATCCCGTCTGCTCCAATGAGGATATCTCCATGGGCACTACTCCCGTCCTCGAAGTACAGCGAAACCCCAGCCTCGTCCGCTTCCGCACGCGCAATCGGTTTACCCAACTGGATTGACTCTCTGGGGACATGCTCGAGCAGAGCCGAGTGCAAATGGCCGCGGTGGAAGCGGGTAGTATGGTGACGGGGATCAGAGACGTTGGTGTGAGTGTCTGTGGACACCACTTGGTCCGTTTTCCAGTGGCTAATTGTCCATCAGTCAGCGCAGCACAACTCGACTGTCTGTGAAGGGTTCCTACCGGAATATCTGCGGGATTCCACTTGGGCCTCTAAACCCGACTTTGTCTGATAGAGCATTGTGTACGCCGAGTTTCTCCAGTGTGCGCATGCCCTAAAGTTCATATTTCCGATTAGCAAATCTCTCAATTTCCCAAAAGAAAGGGGAAAAAAAGCGCGAGAGACCTACATTTGGACTGAGGGCGATGCTCGCTCCGATTTCCAAAAGCTCCGGGGCTTGTTCATATAGCTGGATATCCAAGTTTGGAATGGTCGATTTGCGTGTTAGCGATATAGCCGTTGCAAGACCGGCGATGCCTGCGCCAGCGATCAAGACGCGAACCGGTTCGCCTTTTCCTGTCATTTTTGTTGTACTTGGATCTATTGGATCTATGTAGGCCCAATGCAGATCAGTTGCGATCAAAATTACTGGCACGATCAACCTTTTTTTTTTTAATAGTTCGGGTCTCTCTCGATGAACTCAGGGCTTTTTAAACACACCAACACTGCAGCGCTGACGCAACCCCGCAATGGCGACTTTAGGTGTGCTTTAGAGTCAGACTCGCGTGCGGGTAAACGAATTGCAGTATTCGAGTGGTTATAATTATCATCGCTATTATTGTGTTGGGACTCTTTGAACTCTTCAACGCAGATCCGAAAATCCAAGCCTTTCCGTTTCGTGCATCACTTCCTCAGGGTTCAGGTGGAAATTCATCCTTCCTCACTTTTTAAGATTCTGTCTCTCTTTTATCGTATGAACCTCCCACCTTGATTTTTAATAGCACCTTCCGTAGCTTTCGCTCGCCTATATACCATTTCCGTCATTCTCCTCCATATATAGCAATCCAGGGGTCTGTAGCGTCATCTTTTGTCAAGTCCCCCGAGAACATCCTCCGTATCTCTCTCATCGTACTCAGTCACCCCCCTGCGAGCTCACCGACCATTGATACCAGCAGAAATCGGGAGACATTATAGATGTACGGTAACTTGAGGGTAAGAGAGATTAAGTTGGGAAGTCTGAATGAATTTAAAATGAAGAGGGCGAAAGTGTGCGTAACCCATGAACCGTCAGGGATGGCAGTGCCAAGTTCGTGTAGGAGACTCCCCAAGTAAAATCTAGGTACAGATATGTCCGCTGTCTCGAACGGAGTATTCTTGGTTAACCGATTGTAAATCCAATGGCATAAATAGGCTCCTACATCCCGAGGTGAGTGCGATCATCTTCGGCGCCAGCAAGGATTCCGATACACAACAATCGGCCTGAATGACGTGCCAGCCCATCTGTGGTGATTTCCAAGCACCATAAAGCATCTTATCTCCTCGCGTCGTTGGGAATTCATTCAAAGGTGAGAAGAGATTTTTCTTTTAAAAAAAAAATTCTCGTGTATCAGTTATAAATAGTTGAAACGAAATCCACGGTCGACAACAGATCAAGATGGATATCCAGGAGAGACAGCCTCTCTTAAACTCAGCTCACCCCAACATTCTATCTCTCAGCTCTCCACAAGAATCACTCAGTTTTAGATCTGAGGCGGTCCCCGCATCATACGTCGACACTCTACCAGGGACCCCCGACAGAAAGAGTATCAACTGGTCAAGTGCATATATATTAGTCGTTTCGCAAGTGATTGGGAGCGGTATCTTCGCAACACCCGGCTCAATCGTCCGATCTGCCGGAAGCATAGGATTAACACTGCTAGTATGGCTGGTTGGGACCATATTATCCGCTTGTGGGCTAGCCGTCTTCATGGAATTCGGATGCATGCTCCCTCGCTCAGGAGGACAAAAGGTAAAGCGCACTGCGGCAGAATTGCAGAAACATGTCCGCTAAAAATGCTCTCCTTTTTGCGCAGGTGTACCTCGAGTATACTTACCCCCGACCGCGATTTCTCGCATCAAGCCTGATAACAGCCCAAGTAGTGCTCCTGGGGTTCACGGCGAGCAACTGCATTATCTTTTCGAAATACACGTATTTTGCGCTTGGAATCGAGCCCACCGAGATTCAGCATAAGGTGCTGGCTGTTGGCCTCTTGACTGCCATTACCGTTGTCCATGGCTGTTTCTTGAAATCGGGTATCCTTGTACAGAACGTCCTGGGCTGGGGGAAGATCTTCCTCATTACCGTGATGTCCTTGACGGGAGTCTGGGTAGTTTTTCTCGGGTTGTATGGAGATGATGATAACATCCATCCGGTGTCCAGAGTCGCCAGTTCGTGGTCTTGGGATTCGACGTGGGAAGGATCGAACTGGAGCTGGAGTCTGCTTTCGTCGGCTTTGTTCAAAGTCTACTACTCCTACGCTGGGTTGAGTAATGTGAACAATGTCCTGAGTGAAGTCCATGATCCCGTGGGAATAGTGAAGACCGTGTGTCCGACTGCGCTCGTCACAGCGGGTGGTCTATACTTTCTTGCGAATCTTTCATACTTCCTGGTCATTCCACTCGAAGAGATCAAGAACAGCGGAGAATTGGTCGGCGCATTGCTCTTCGAAAGAGTATTTGGAGCGCACGTCGGAAAGATCTTCTTTCCACTTGCTATTGCCATTTCAGCTGCCGGGAATGTGATGGTGGTGACCTTTGGCCTGGTACGCTTTTAGACAGATGGAAGTGACAGCTAAAACACTAACTTTCGAAGGCACGTGTGAATCAAGAGATAGCCCGACAAGGCTTTCTTCCATGGCAAAAGGTTCTATCATCTTCACGGCCATTTGGGACTCCACTGGGTGGACTGATTGTACACTACATTCCTTCTATGTTAGTGCTCGCCTTACCACCGCAAGGAGACGTCTATAACTTTATCTTGGACTTGGAGGGATACCCTGGACAGATGTTTGCCTTGGCACTCACTGTCGGTCTATTAATCGTACGACACCGGGAGCCTCATCTACCACGACCCTTCAAAGCGTGGTTGCCGGCTGTCTGGTTACGGGTTGTGGTGTGTCTAGTCCTGCTAGTAGCACCCTTCATCCCACCGGAGAATTGGCGGGACCTCGATTATTTCTACGCCACCTATCCACTTGTCGGGATTGCAATGTGAGTAACCCCTTTTCCATGGGGGAGTTACCTCGCTAACAAAAAACAGTGTGCTCTCGGGTGTTCTCTACTGGTATGTCTGGACAGTGCTACTCCCACGATGGGGAGGTTATCAACTCGAGGAAGAGAAGCAGATTTTGGCCGACGGAACTAGTATCATCAAGCTTGTTCATTCATATAATAAGTGATAGCGTTGACCTATCCCATGATCACTTCCTGGGATTGGTCTTAGGTCTTTTACTCATGTCTGGAAGACAGCGTTGGTTCATTTTGGTTCATATCATGCCGAGTCTGCTTTTAAAGGGAGAAGACCTTCATCTTTAAGAATAGTAGGTGGATAGTGCCCAGGACTTCTTCACTTATTAACGCAGCCATGTAGAAAATGACCGAGGTTTGAGGGTTCAGTGATCACCCAGGCAATCGTGCACGACAGACAAACGGATCCATTCATACTTCTTCCCTCCTTCCTCTCTTCCTCTCCCTGCCTCTTTGCGTCTTCGCCCCCCCCCCTTCCTCTCTCTCATTTTCCCTTCCCTATTCAACATCTTAGCAAAGAAAACACAGCATACTGTATTTTGTAAATCACAACTGGACTGGACTTTCAAACACATTATTCCCAGTTCTACGGAGCTTTCTTTGAACAAATCTTTGCTTCGCCATGGCATCTATGCCTCAGAGGCATGACCGGCCGCCTCCTCCATGTCCCACCTGGGTCTATTCCAACAACTCCGACACCCAGTGAGCATTTCCACTTTAGCAGGGCTGAATGCAGCCATCTAACCAAACCAGTGTAGCCAAAGATCGCTTTTGGTTCGGTCAAGACTATGTTCCCTTCAGATCCTATGTCACGGATATTGCTGGAGGCTCGGTTGAAGTCATTGGAATGGGAACTGTCAATCTCGCCACCGTGAGTTTGCCATTCCAGACCCGTCCGAATCCGCACAGCTCCCTTCGCTTGAAGAATGTGCTACATGCTCCTGCAATGCTTTGCAATATCATCGGAAGCCCTGTAAGTGACAACTACACAGTTATGTGCGGCCCCAATACCTCAGAGATGTCCGGTTTTATTGTGAAGAACGCCGACGGTTCTGTCATGGCCTACTTCAAGCCCATGAGACAAGGCCCCTGGCTGTACCAAATCCAGCTTGGAGAGCCTCCACTCGGCCATGAGTTTGGGATTTCGCCTTTGTGCCCTAACGGACTCTACCTGATTCACGCCTTCTGGTCCCAGCGTGAGCGGCACCGATTTGAAGTCTTGAGAGCATCCGGTCTGATTCGAGCCTCCGGCGTAGAGCCGCTGACCCCGGCCGAAAAGAATTGGTTCGCGAAGCAACGTATGTCTGAAATGGGAATTGCGCTGGCCTACGGTTTGAGCAACAACAGGGAGGAGCATCGAGAGGAAAGCCGTGCCATCATGCGAATTCTCAAATCCCAAGCCGAAAATGAACCGAAGATCTGATCCCAGATGAACCCTGTGACTCTCGAAAGGAAGTAATTTCTATTGCAACTGGATGGTTATTTCCGAGGTGTGAGGGAGGAACTCGTTAAAGTTATCAGTCTCCCATAGCTTCATACACTTTCGAAATACCCCAATCACACGACACATTGCAATGACCCTGCTTCCTTCCCAAATCGTCTCATTAAAGTTTCCAAGCAGAGTCATTTTCGACTGACCACGCCACCACGTCGCGTACATCTCATACTCTTATCCAAGGAGCTGGATCCGCCATTTTTAACGACAATATCCACACCAACGCCATTGGTCAACTTGAGAACCTCCTTATCCCAGTCGGACATTTGAGAGTAGTTTATCGTCATAATCGGCGGGGTTGAGTACTTGATCTTCATTTGCTCAAGCTTCTTATCACTCGAAGAGGTCAAAATCACCCTCAGGCCCGCAGCCCTTCCAAGCTTGAGTGCAAAAACACTGACCCCCTCCAGTACCTAAATTGGTCGTTAATGTCGAACCAAGTCCCAACCCTGGGAGCACATACCTTGAATCAACACAGTCTGCCCAATACTAATACCTTTCAATGCCGACCAAGCAGTAACACCCCGCACAAGGAATAGTAGCAGCCTCCACCCAGTCGAGATAGTCCGGAAATTTATACATACCATCCTCGTCAAAAATAATTTAATCCGCCATCACCCCATCCTCATCAGCTGTCAGCCACGACCGCTTCCCTTCACGCCCTGAAAGATTCTCAGTGTCGGCTATAGGCCCGGCCCTATCCCCGACTGCCAATCTCTTCATCTTGTCTCCAACTGCGATAACCTCGCCTGCCGCGTCGTTACCTAAAATCTCATTTGGAATTACCGGCCAAGGATTCTCTCCATTTGCGATGTTGGCGTCACGGTAGTTAAGAGCGACGGCATGCGCTTTAATTAAGACTGCGGTCGGTGCAAGTCGCACCGCGAGCACTTCCTGTACAATCTTGAGCTTTGGCTTGCCTGAAGTAAAATCGTCGGTTCGTCTAAAGAGGCGCGACGGTGGGTGACTTGAGGGCTCGACATTTCTTCTGTGAGCTTTTCATAGTCGGAACCATCCGTCAGAGTCAATGAAATGGTTCTGGTTTATAATGGAGATACTAGCATGTGCCGATGTCATTCTATTATGCGAGAATACGCCTACCCCTCCTTCCAGATACATGCGTTTATCTATTTTAACTGGAATTGCTTTACTGCCCAATTTGATGAGAGCCCGTCGTGACTTTGACGCTATACCACTTCTGCCTCTCTTTCTCTGGCACCTGGCTAATATGGCAGTTCTGGTCACAGCAAAGGACCTGATAAACTAAGGTGACTGAACATGTGGTACTTGTACATTCTGGTGTCGGATTGTAGACCTACATGTCGAACATGGACCGCAGGCCATCCCCGCTTAGCATGATTTTATAACTGGAAATTACAACATTTGTCTTTTCACAGGCTCGATGGCTGGAACCGTTGATGAAACACATTAGAACATGCTTAGGAAATTCTATGAATGAATCAAACTTCTTCTTGGAGAGAAGAAATTCCTTCTGCGTGGAAATAACTCGACACGAACCCGAAAAGAGTAGACAAAGCTGGACATGCTCTCGGAATCCCTTGCCTTGTATGGCCCAAGGCAGTCAATCAACATATCCAGGTGAGGAAGGTTTGATACAGACAGCTGACATGCCTTTGTTTTCACATTTTGTAACGCCAGGTGGTTATGCTAAAGCAACTTGAGCAAAAGCCTTGAGCAAGAGACCTCGGCTAACATGAAATGGTACCGAAATTTGCTGCTTTGCATACTGGGTGGTTGCAAATGGCAAACTGGTCAACAGATGCAAGTCGCAGGTCAACAAGGTACTGCTTCATATGTGACTCTCATCTTACACTGTTTCACACCATGCAGTACGCAATGGCCTTGGAGAAGCCAGAATCCCCTCGGCACAGCGTTTTTCCTTGCCCAGGCGGTCAGGTGATCCCCAACTAAATTTGTCCGAGGACAAATGAACCCGCCTCAAGTTCAACGAGTCTCTATTCTCAATTCCACACATCACTATTCATAATGTTCCAACGAACTATCCTCAGACAGGCCCAGGCCGCCCGCTCCATTTTCTCCACCTCCATTCCCTCCACCGCATCGCTGGCGCTGCGACGGACTTCACAACAAGCACGTCTCCCGGCCATCCGGCCATTCTCTCCCCGGTCTACCCGTCTCTACTCAACAGAGACCAAGGAAGCCACTGAAGCCGAGAAGGAAGAGAGCGCAGAGAATGCAGAGGCCGAGGACCCCGTTAAAAAGGAGCTCGAACAGAAGACTAAGGAAGCCATTGAGTTCAAGGTACGCTAATTCCCCATGCTACGGGTAGCTCTTTAGCTCTTTCGTAGACGAGTATTAATCCAAACTTGCGATTAGGACAAATGGCTCCGCTCCGTTGCCGAATCCCGCAACCTTGTTGAGCGCAACAAGCGCGACATGGACGCCGCCCGCAAGTTCGCCATTCAGGGTTTCGCAAAGGATCTCCTTGACAGCATCGACAACTTTGACCGCGCGCTGCTGGCCGTGCCCGCAGACAAGCTCACCGCTGCTAAGACCGACGAGAACAAGGACCTCCTTGATCTCGTTGCTGGTCTCAGCATGACCCAGCAAATCCTTCTCAACACCCTCCAAAAGCACGGTCTCGAGCGCTTCGATCCCGGCGAGAAGGTCGACGGCAAGGCCCAGAAGTTCGACGCGAACTTGCACGAGGCGACCTTCATGGCACCCGCTGCTGGTCTTGAGGACGGGGATGTTATGCACGTCCAGAGCAAGGGCTTCCGTCTTAATGGCCGCGTTCTGCGGGTGAGTTCCAGCTCCGATGCCCATGACTCTAGATTATTGTGACTAACTGTAATCTTTTCTTTTGCAGGCTGCTAAGGTTGGTGTCGTCAAGAACGCTTAAATTGTCGACAAAAACTTCGATTCTTAATCTTTCCACCTTTTCGGATCCTTTCCGCATTTTCATTTTCTTTCTCTCTGTACCATATGTCATTCCTCATGATCATGATAGGGTTTAATGCTCGGATATGGCTGGCTTTTGGACCCCGGAAATTACTCTTCCTTGCTATCTTTCTGCTCGTCTCTTGGATTCGGCTGTATGATACGCACTTGTTGCATGTGTCTGGAGGCGTACGGATCGTCTCATGTTGGTGGTGTGTTTTCACTTGTTTCGTGACGTCTGTACCTCTATGCCCCCTGATATCTCTCTCCTCCTCACTGTATAATATACACTTCCTCGGGGCACTGTTTTAGCCTCTGGTGTCAGCATTTTCCTTCCGCCATGGGTAATCACTAAATTATCTTCTGATCGAAGGCCAAGCTGGCTAGAATCTAGATCCACTGGAACTTGGGCTTAGTGAGATCCACGTATTCAATATTGGCATGGATGAGAGGAATGCTGTATCTTACAAATTCTCCGCAGTAGTCACAGTATAGTACAAAGTATGACCCAACAGTCTCCAAGCTCACCTCAGCTCAACACCAAGCTCTCCCACCAGCTTCTCCCGGACCTTCGAATGCAACTCATTACTTTCTTCGTTCGTCAAAGTCCGCTCTAAGCTCCGGTAGTTTATGCGGTAGCACATACTCTTCCGCGAAGTCTTGGGATGCGTAAACTCATCAATGAGAGTAACATCCTCAACAAGATCCCCACCAATCCCACGAACAATCTCCATTACATCATTCTCATGGAAAGGCACACCCCCACCAGCAGCACTGTTACCACCCGTCAGAGTCGCAGGAGGCAACCAGAAAGCAACATCTTTGTAACAAGCCGGATGCTTAGAGAAAGGCTCGAAGCGAGCAATATGGCCAGCCCGGAACTGCGACAGGAACCGCTCATCCCGCGACCAGAACAGCCTGATATCAGGAATATTGAAAAGAAGCATAGCAATCCGCTCGATGCCCAGTCCAAATGCCCATCCAATCCGGTCCGGCACGTCGGAGTTGATCAACAGATCCTGCTTGATGATCCCGCACCCCAGAATCTCCAGCCACTCATCTTGCCAGAACACTTCCAGCTCCCAGGACGGGCTGGTGAACGGGAAATAAGCCTCGACCCAGCGAACCTTGAGCGGTTCCTGCTCCACGCCACCACTACTCGCCGCAGCGGCTTTGCTTGCTTCCGTGAAGATCGTAATCACCATACGCTCAAGAGAACGCTTCAGATGCGCTGCCACAGCCTCGACCTCCTCGGCACTGTGGTGCTCATCCTGCAGCGGGTTCCGCTGAGCATGGATAGTGGGGTTCGGGTCTTCGACGACGACATCGTGGCGCGTGATCCTCTCCACATCAGCCATGATCCTCGCTGCGGTTTCGGCCGATGCAGATAGTGGATTGGTCGTGGGGCGCTTCCATAGCATGGCGCCTTCCATCTGGTGGAAGACGGGGTAATGGCTGCGGTCGATGGCGTCGCGACGGTAGACGTCAGCGATCACGGTATATCCGACCTCCTCTGGGCGGGTTTTTTCATTACGGGCGATTTGCTGGAAATATGCTTGCTGGTGTGCGCTTGTGTGGGTGCGCAGCACTGTCTTGTCGTTCACGTAGTAGGTATCCGTGCGGCTGCGACCCGGGTGGTCGGCGGGAAAGCCGAGGACGTCGAAGTTTTGTCTTGTTGAGACGACGGGGTTCTTCTCTGAATAGTTTCCATAGCTTGGGGATGCGAATTGGCTTTCGATGAGTTTGCGTGTAATGGCGAGAGGGTGGTTTTCGTCCAGGTAGAGTCGGCGTCCGATATGAGATAGGATTGTATTGGGGGTGTTGGTCCACTGGTCGGTTGGGTAGGTTTCCCCTTCGAGTTTGAGGGTTGATTGCTGTTGGGGACTTTGTGGTGTAGTGGTTGCGTGCTGTTCACTCCGGCGAACTGCGGTTGAGCTCCATTCGCGATTGCGGGAGAAGATGGGAGTCAGTTGGAGGGAGCGCGGAATGGTGTTTGGGGGCCGGATTGAGGCAATTGACCAACGGCCACTGCTTGCACGCAGGGCTCGACCTGTAGCGAATAACCTCATTGTTGGGTTGGACGTGAGGTTTCAATGTTGTCTATCAACGATCTCAACGCATGTTCGGGTCGGCGAAATTAGTTCCCGAAGTACGGAGTTCACTTGTCTAGTCAATCTGCACTACAACAATTGTAAAAAGCTTTAGTATTGACGTCTTTCTAGAAGAAAAGGCTTGTGATTTGAAGATGATTGGATTACTGGATAGTCACTACCACTCTTGTCGAGTCAGTACTAACTTATATTGAAATTTGAAAGTTGTTTTCTCTGTTTACACGCACCACTTTATAAATTACACATCTCTGATGGTATATAAACATGATTTAAACAGGTAAACAGTTATGCTGACCTTATAAACAGTTTCAACTCCTTTCCTTCCTTTTTAAACATGCCACAACGACCGAGTTCAAACACCACTGCCGAGAAAAAGAACCCGCGGAACAAGCGCTTGAACTAGAGTTACCTGATTCCAGTCATTAGGATGTTCAACATCTTTAATACCCCGGCTGTTATCTGATATCATATATTATCATAATGCTTCTCCAGAAAGCCTTAATGCACATGGTATCTGACCCCTCCTGCAGAACCCCTCGATAGTCTGACGCCAACCGCCCAATATCCGTAAGAAACCCCGAAGATCCGCATGGTGGCCGATCTCGTGTTAGATTTCTTGGGTTCTTATAGTAGCGGTGTGTGCATAGATATCCTCGGCATGCATTTTAACGACCGAACGAGGATATTCAGAGTGCCCAAGGGGTATCTGGGACCAGGGCTGTATGTGCCCATACAAGAGAATGTCGGCAAAGGAAAGGCCGGGCTATGGAAAGGCCCGTAAACCCGAGAATATGATTGGTGTAAGGGAAGAGCCCCGATCAAGGCACTTGGTCTGATTGGCTACTTCTCACCGTTCGCCGGAGTGTCTTCGGGGATCTGATTTGTCTCCGTCGGTATTTAAACCAAAAATTACGTCACGTCGCGTTAAAGGCCGAGAAAAGTCCAGAGAAAAAAAAATTAGCTTTTGGGATTTGCTCTCCCCGCCTTTTTCCCTCGGTGTATGTTTAGAGGGGTCTTGTTTTCCAAGATGGTAGACACCGGTAAGATGGAGGCTACTCACTCTCGGGTCGTGCCCGTTCAGACGCCCGCGCAGTCAAAGCCGAAGCAGGTGCATTACCCTTTTTGGTTTGGGGGTTCGGCCTCATGTTTTGCTGCGTCCGTGACGCACCCCTTAGATTTAGGTAGGTTCCTATATCCTCCCTGAATGATAGAATATATGCTGACTCTGCGCCCCTAGTTAAGGTAATTGCAAGCTCCTAATCCTCCAAGACAACGGCCCATGGCCACAACCCCAAATCCCGATGCTGATATCTGCTCGTCGCATGATAGGTCCGGTTACAGACTCGTGCACCCGATGCACCGAAGACTATGGTCGGAACATTTGTACACATCGTGAAGAATAATGGCTTCACGGGGTTATATAGTGGTGTATGTGCGATCCCAAAATCCAGTTGATAGCGAATGCCCCATCGCTACCAGGAAATGCGCACAGTTGGCTAACAAGGGACGCATTGCATCTGGAATAGTTGTCAGCGGCGATGCTACGTCAAATTACATACTCCACAACGCGCTTCGGTATCTACGAAGAACTGAAGTCGCGCGTTGTCTCGCCCACCTCAGACCCCGCCAGCGCACCAAGCCTGGTCACTCTCATTGGCATTGCCTCGGCCTCCGGATTCATTGGCGGAATTGCAGGCAATCCAGCCGATGTGATGAATGTCCGCATGCAACACGATGCATCCCTCCCTCCCGCTCAGCGCCGCAATTACCAAAACGCAATCCACGGACTCGTCCAAATGACCCGGTCAGAGGGATTCAGTTCTCTCTTCCGCGGAGTATGGCCTAACTCCACGCGCGCAATCCTCATGACTGCCTCACAGCTCGCTTCCTATGACACCTTCAAGCGCATGTGTCTCGAGAAGGCCGGCATGGCTGATAACCTGGGCACACACTTCACAGCCTCGTTCATGGCGGGCTTCGTTGCTACCACTGTCTGCAGCCCTGTGGACGTGATCAAGACGCGTATTATGACGGCTTCTCATGCCGACGGCGGTGGTCAAAGCATCGTTGGTCTTCTGCGTGATATCTGCCGCAAAGAAGGCTTAGGGTGGACTTTCCGTGGCTGGGTGCCTAGCTTCATCCGTCTTGGTCCTCACACCATTGCCACTTTCCTCTTCCTCGAGGAGCACAAAAAGCTATACCGAAAGTTGAAGGGCATTTAGAGATCCAAAGAGTGATTGTTCCCTGTTTGTGACTCTTCCCCCCGATTATTCCCAACCTTACATCATTTATACCTTGTGTCCGATATAATCTCGACATAGACGATTTCTTGCCATTTCTCCGGTTTTCTATGGTTCAATTTGACACTCCGCGCACCATTTTCATTTTGGCTTGTACATAGCCTGCATTCTTTCGGACGTTTCCATCATCGGAGATTCGAAGGTTGGCCAGACACGGCCTGGGAGCATATCTAAAACATGGCCCTGTGGCCTTGTACACTGTGCTGAATTATGCATTTTTCTTGTCAGGACTGGGACTACATAGAATTAGATACACACATTGAATCGCATTCAAAGCATTTACGCTAAGACAGCATGGGTTCTACTCAGTATTTAGGTTACATATCCAAGCCAAGGCTCCCGCTTATTGCAAGCGTCTACTGATGAAAGATGTGTAGGGACTGCCGATGCCTTCAATCAAGTCGGAACAAGCACCAGCTAACGGTAGATTTCTCTTTACAATACGACGAGCCTAGAAACACCCTTTCTAGCCTTTTACGGACGGAACAACTTAGGAGAGGGGTTGTGTCCCCGCCTGACCCAGTAGAGTACATTGGAACTTGTCGATACATAAGAAAATTTGACGCGGCTCACTTGACCAACCAAAAACAGCTGTCGGTTATCTACTTGTCAAGGTGGACAGGGAAGTTGCCGGCCTCTGTGAACAAAAGTTAGCAGAAGTAAACACATGATTGGAGAAGAGTTGTAGATGCGTACCACGCTGACCGTCCCAACGATCGGTCCAGGCCTTGGGGCAAAGAGAGCGGAAGGAGTGGTAGAACTGTGAGAAAAGCCGTTAGAAGCTGCTGGGATTTGGGAAAGATTGTCGATGTCGAAATTACCTGTTTGCAGGGGCGGAAGTCCTCGCCCTTGGCAGTGGTACACTTGTAGTAGTCGACATAGTTCTGCCAGCAGTGCTTGGTCCTGCGGAGCGAATCAAGGTTAGATAGTGTGAAAAAGACACTCAACTAACAGCTAATCACATACTGGTTCTGCTGGGGGAAACGAGCATCGTAGCCTGCGATCCAGTCGAAAATTGTCAATTACACCATCTATCAGCCGATCGGGGATATCGGTCCACGCGCATGCGACAAGCGAAAGAAGTGGAAAATTTTTTTTCAAGTCTCACGTACCAGCTGCAATTAAATTAGCCATTGACTCTCTATAGGGCCATTGGCCCCGGTTTTCTCGGGAGGGGGTAGTAGACTTACCAGTGACGAACTTGAAGGGCTTTGTCTCGAGGACCTCATCGGGGTCAGCTTCCGGAATGGCAACCATATTTGCGATGTGTAGCTTCAGGAGAAACAACACAGAGGAAGAATTGGAGTGGAGTGGAAACAGAGGAGAGGAGAGAGTGAGCCGGGAAGAGCGACGTTGGGTGATTGAAGCTGTGAAGTGCCGGATATGACCGCGGGCGGTCAAGCGAGAGCCACTGAGCGTCTCGCTTTTACACCCGAGCCAGTCACGTTCTCGGAAAGCTGGTGTTTCAACCTCGCCCTCTATCCCACACTTCTTCTGCTACTCCAGAGTTGAACTACGCATATCGTCATGTATCCCACTCGCATGCTGCGGATGCAGCCCACTCGGGCCTTTGCTTTCCCTACTCCTGTATGTTATTCCCTTCGGCATTGGTCTTGTGTCTTGTGATCATACGATCCCTCGGTAACTAACTCGTGTCTGTAGAAGGAGCAACAAAGTGGTATGCATCTATGAGATCGCTGGATCCCGTGATCCATGGGGTCATGCAGAAATGGATCTACTTTTATGGGGACAGCCTTTGAACTAACCGTGCACCTACAGCTCACACTATCTCCCAGCGTCTGCGCCAGCTTAAGCGTGTGCCCCCCGAGTTGCTCCCTATCGGTATGTGCAATTGTGATGACTTTCGCGATCGGGAATTGAGCTAACGGTCTGTGTAATTTATAGGCTTCGTCCTGGCGTATGTTTCTCCCTGTTCCTGTTTGATACTATCTGCTGCTTGATTCCGGGAACACATGCCCGTCTTACGCCGAACTTTATCTCCCTAAATCTCTTGTCTGGCAATCAAGCTCGTGTCTTTCCCTGATGCTAACTTATCGTTTCAGTGTTGCCCTCAGCGCTGCTGTCTACTCTTGCGGCAAGAAGCTGATGACCGACAAGACCTTGCGTCTCTACCGCAACAGCCCCGAGAGCCGTGAGCACTAGATGTACCACCATGTTTCTTTAAGCTCTCAGAATTCGATCCGCAGTTTTTGGAATACTGCCGCTTGTATTGTTGATTAGGAGAAGTTGAAGCTGATGGGCACAATTTGCCAGTGGAGACAAAAAGGAACGGGCTTGAGATTGCGCCCGTGTACAAATTCCGGCTTCCCGAGCCTGAGTACTGTGGTGTAATTGGCAAAATGTACTGTCGTGTGAGACTTGTGCTTTTTTTTGTTTGTCATCTTCGTCGTAGCTATCGTAAAGTGTAGCGTGTTTCACTCGGGCTTCGGCCCAGCAACATCTAATTGTTCCAATCCCTGCATAGGATCTTGGGGACGACTGCTGGCAGCCTGAGCCTCCTCCGCTGCTTCCCGATCTTCCTCGCTGACAGCATGCTTGGCCAAATAACCCTCCTATAGAGTAAACCGGTCAGTATAGATCGCAATCAGATCCAAAATCGAACCCAACGAACCTGTTCCCAGATTGCAGTCTTGCTGCCTAATCCCTCATTGGCATCCTTCTGCGGCTTTGCAGCGGCGACTTTGATGGTGCGCCCGTAGATCTCGCTACCGTCCATGTTGTCAATTGCCTCTTTGGCGTCTTGCGGCAGATCAAACTCCACATATCCAAATCCACGGTGAATTTCAGCGGAGTTAGGTTGCTCTGGTTTAGGTAGAGAGATATCGACGACCTCGCCGAATGGAATGAAAGCTTCGGCAAGTGTGTGTGCGGTCACTCCTTGGTCAAGACCACCAACGTAGACAGTGCTCTTAAGCCGCGTGGTTTCACTCATGATGTATAGTTGCGCTTCGGGTCAAAGTATAGCGATGTGACGAGTTTGTACAGAGTGGTAGAAAAGGCGAGGAGAAAGGTATCTGCGACAATAAAGAAAGCTTTTGGGTCGATATTCTGAATCCGAGCTGTATCTTGCCATCAGCTCAGAACGGAAGATTGATATCACGTGAAGCTCACATCGGAGTGTTTTGGCGAGTCTCAAAGCGGTCTAGCGCGCGTTCCCCGGTCCCTCCAAGTCCAGGAGGCCACTTGGTTACTGCTATACTTGGAACATCTAGAGTATCACCCCATTGTCAACTATTCATAGGGGGTGGTTATTGATCCCTCTTCTTTCCCACAAACTGAGTTTCATTGTTCCTTGGATGATACCTTTGACACAAACTATTGGTCTCGATCCTCACCAAACCATACCTCCCCTGCCATCATCATGGTGCGTCTGAGGGAAATCCCAAGGACGGCCACGTTTGCCTGGTCGCCTGGCGCTGCGTCGCCATTGATCGCAACTGGAACTCGTGCTGGCGCTGTCGATGCCGACTTCTCTAACAAGACATGTCTCGAGCTGTGGGATCTGGGCCTTGACCGCGAAGATGCGAGCGAGGAGCTGCAGCCGCTAGCTAAGCTCGATACCGACTCTGGGTAAGTGGGTCTCTGGGAACTAAAAAGAAGACGAGCATGTTGACTGATTACTGTAACCAGCTTCAATGATGTGGCCTGGACAACGTTCGAAGACAACAAACGGGGCGTGATTGCGGGTGGCTTGGAGAATGGCTCGCTGGAGCTATGGGATGCGGATAAGCTACTTGCTGGATCTAGGTTGGTCAAACTCTATATGTTAACAAATTCCCCCTAAGATTTTGCTAATCGTTTAATCTTAGTGATGCTTTGATCTCAAGAACCACTAAACACAGCGGCGCCATCAAGACCCTTCAGTTCAACCCGAAACACCCAAACCTTCTGGCTACTGGTGGCGCAAAGGGAGAGGTAGGCTGCGACTCGAGGAAAATGGTTGGAAATGTAGCTAATTACTGGATAGCTGTTCATCTGGGATCTAAACAACATCGAGAACCCATTCCGCCTGGGCAACAATGCGGCCCGCACAGATGATATCGACTGCTTGGATTGGAACAGGAAGGTTCCTCACATTCTGGTCACTGGTAGCAGCTCTGGCTTTGTGACGGTGTGGGATGTCAAGACTAAAAAGGAGAGTCTGACCCTGAACAACAAGGCCCGGAAGGCTGTCAGCGCCGTCGCATGGGACCCCGAGAGGGTACGTTGCCACTTCCTACATATTTGTTCCAGGATTGCTGAACTTTTGATGTCTAGCCCACGAAACTTATCACATCGTCTCCCCTCGACTCAGACCCAGTGCTCTATGTCTGGGACCTTCGCAACTCCCACGCCCCGGAGCGAGTAAGTTACTCTTTCAGATCCTGATTTGATTTAACATTGACTTGCTTTGTATAGACACTTGCCGGCCATGAGTCCGGTGTGCTCTCACTTTCTTGGTGCGAGCATGATCCAGATCTCCTTTTGTCTTCCGGCAAAGACAATCGTAACATCTGTTGGAACCCGCAAACCGGCCAAGCATACGGAGAGTTCCCCGTTGTGACGAACTGGACCTTCCAGACCCGCTGGAACCCTCACAACCCGAACTTCTTCGCAACCGCGTCGTTTGATGGAAAGATCTGTGTCCAGACGCTCCAGAACACAAAGACCGAAAATGCCCAGGCTATCGCCGATCACAACCAAGCCTTGGACGGTGAAGACTTTTTTAACAAGGCGCAAACGCAGCCTCAAGTCTCCAAGTTCTCTCTCCCGAAGGCCCCTCGTTGGCTTGAGCGGCCATGCGGTGCTGCTTTTGGCTTCGGAGGTCGGGTCGTTTCCTTCGGTCTGACCGAGAAGGGCTCTCGCACATCCAGTGTTAAAATCACACCGTTCGAGGTTGATGAGAGCGTTGGCAATGCTACCGAGAGCTTTGAGACTGCATTGAAAGAGGGTGATATTAGCACTCTCTGTGAGTCACGCGCTTCAAGTGCTTCCAATGAAGCAGAAAAGGCAGACTGGAAGGTGATGCAGGCTTTGATTTCTGAAAATCCACGTAAGAGCTTAGTGGAGTATCTTGGATTCCAGGATCAGATTGATGAGACCGCCGATAGTCTCGCGCAGCTTGAGTTAGACAAAAAGGAAGGTGAGGGCACCAATGGCGCTGCCGCCAAACCTGCCGGGGCTAGGAAGCACAAGCGTTTGCAATCCATTTTCGATGCCAACCCAGAAGGTGACAGCTTCCTTTCCGAACTGGCTGCTTCCAAGGGCGCTCAAACCAACAACCCATTCCAAATTTTCAATGGATCAGAAAGCCAGGCAGAGCAAAAAATTACTCGGGCTTTGCTCCTCGGAGAATTTGAGAAAGCTCTGGATGTTGCTCTCAAGGAGGATAAGATGTCCGATGCTTTCATGATTGCTATTTGCGGTGGCCCGAAGTGCATCGAAAAGGCGCAGGAGTACTACTTCTCTAAGCAGGCTGGTGGTCCGAACTACATGCGCTTACTCGCGTCTATTGTGGGTAAGAACCTGTGGGATGTGGTCCATAATGCCGACTTGTCCAACTGGAAGGAAGTCATGGCTGCCTTGTGTACCTTTGCCGATGAGAAGGAATTCCCTGATCTCTGCGATGCTCTCGGTGACCGCCTGGAGGAGCAGACGCAGAACAGCGACGATAAGAGTGCCCGCAAGAATGCTTCTTTCTGCTTCTTGGTAGGCTCGAAGCTTGAGAAGGTTGTTGCCATCTGGGTTGAGGAGCTCCGCGAGAATGAGCAGAAAGGAATTGAGAGCAACACTGACAACTCTTCATTCTCCATCCACGTCCGTGCCCTGCAGGGCCTGATTGAGAAGGTTACCATCTTCCGCCAAGTCACCAAGTTCCAGGATACCGAACGGGCCAAGGACTCGGATTGGCGCTTGAGCGTCTTGTATGACAAATACATTGAATATGCCGATGTTGTCGCTACCCATGGACGCCTACAAATTGCTCAAAAGTATCTCGACCTTGTCCCTGAGAAGCACCCTGAAGCTGAGGTGGCGCGCAACCGCATTAAGCTTGCCACGAGACAGGCACCTCAGAAGGCCCAGCCCGCTGTCGCAGCCAAATCTGCCTTGAAGCCCCTTCCACAGCAGCCCAATGTGTACCAACCAGCGAAGCCTTACAACCATGCTGCAACTCCACCGGTTGCTACTCCTAGCATTTATGCGCCTCCTGCGGCTACTGTTCCCCAGCAGGCTAACCCATATGGTCCTCCAACGACCTCCTCGTCAGTTCAGCCTCCTAACCCCTACGCTGCCTATGGACAGACAGCTGGGTATCAGCCCACTCAGGGAATGAGACCTACCAGTTACACTCCACCATCTGCATTCGGCGGGCAACAGCCCACAGGTGCTGGCGTCCCCCCCCCTCCTCGTGCGTCATCTAACCAGTCGCCGGCCAACACAATCACAACATACACCACGGCCACTGGCCTTCCTGCCTGGAATGATTTGCCGGAAGGCTTTGCTAAGGCTCCTACACCCCGCCGTGCGACACCTGCCGCAGCTTCTGCAACCATCGCGTCTCCTTTCCCCAACCAGTCACCAAATTTGACCCAGGGGCCTCCCCCCGTTGGTGCGCCGCGCGCACCATCCGTGCCTCCCCCACCAAAGGTGGGCTCGATGCCTCCGCCGCGCATGATGTCGCCGCTATCTGGTGGTCAGGCTGCATCTAACATCCCCGGGCCTTCTCCGCTGCCCCCTGCCAATCCATACGCTTCTCTCCCTCAGTCACCACCGTTGACTCAGGGTTCAACCATGGCTCCTCCGGCATCAATCCCCCGCGGAGCGTCGCCTTACAACGCTCCTCCTAGCATGCCACCTTCAACCAACCGGTATGCACCAAGCCCGGCTGCCCAGCCTGCAAACCCGCAACTGCAGGCTCGTGGCTCGGTGGCTCCTCCTCCCCAGGCCGCTCCCTCGCCATACGCCCCACAAGCAGTATCGCAACCCCCCGCGGCAAACCCATATGGGCCCACCACGCCTATTACTGCACAGCCCCCGCCCATGGCCCAGGGCATCCAACCGCCGCCACAGGGATCTCGACCTCCCACGGCCCAGTCGCAGAGGCCAACTCCTGCGGCTCTCAAGTATCGTAAGTTACTACAATTATTAGTCAACGATTCCAGCCAACTGACTATTATTATAGCCCCCGGTGACCGTTCACACATTCCTGCAGACGCACAGCCTGTCTTCGAGATTCTATCGGCAGACATGCAACGCGTCAAGACCCGGGCCCCCGCGGCATTCAAGGCACAGGTTGATGATGCTGAGCGCCGCTTGAACATCCTCTTTGATCACCTCAACAATGAGGACTTGCTCAAGCCCAAAACCATTGAGGACATGGTGAACCTAGCCCACGCACTCCAGCAACGTGATTACAACACTGCCCTCGGTATTCATGTTGATATCATGACCAACCGGACAGACGAATGTGGCAACTGGATGGTGAGTCAACCTTTGTCCTAGCATTTGAGCAGTCACTAACAACCACGATTACAGGTCGGTGTGAAGCGATTGATTAGCATGAGCCGCGCTACTCCGTAAATGAAATTGTTGTATCTTGTCAAGTGGAGGGAATGCTAAAGGCTTGGTACAACTTATGTATTTCTGGCCTTGTTTTCTCTATACTTCAGCGTTGCTCTAAATTTTCTCATATTCCTTGTCAATTTTTCTATAATTAATGCCTTGCGTACTTTTTCTTCCGTTCGTCTTCTCTCCTGGGGGTTTATGTCCGATCACGAGCAAAGCGAAAATTTCCTGACCTTTCCTTAGTTTGGTTGACAGTTTTCACAACGTGCTGCCTTTTTATTTAGACTGCTAGATAGACATATATCAAGTGAGGAAATGGCAATCGCGTTATAGGTCGAGAAAAAATATATATCAGTTCCAGACTACAATTTGATAGATCAAGCCAGACCGCTGAAGATCTTACAGCGCATAAACCTAAATAAGTCACCTAGAGATTCTATTAAAATCTTATTACATTCACAAAATCGCATCAAAGCCCACGATCTAACCCCATCACCGTTCACGGACGGAAAGACCACCAAGCCTTCCTATCCGACTAGCAGGGAAGTTACGCGCACTCAACAGTGCACCCTTCACACCGCGAATATCAGCCTTAAACTCAGCAATAGCTTCATCCTCTGCCTTCCGCATATTAGAGCTACCGTTAGAGCCCAAGGTATTGGAATTCCAGACCCCGTACATCGACCCAGTGGAGTACGCAGGACCACTATAAATCAACCCATCACAGTAATGATGCAATTCCGTGAGACGCGTACGCATCGAGTCATCCAGTGTTCTCGCGTTCTTCTCCGAGTCGACGATCTCCCGCAGCTTCGAGGTAATAGATTCAACGCGGCTAATGTGGTTGTTAACCGCCGTCGATGGCGAGAAAGCCGTCGAGTCCGCCAAATTGACGAGCCCCGTGGTGCTGGACACCGGGATGGGTTCTAGAATTGTTTGCGTAGCCACGTCCCGGTGGAACAGCTCGGTTGGGTCCGAGGAGATTGATGAAACGTTGTCCTCTTCTTCGTCTCTATGGGGCTTGCTCTTGCGTGCTGTTAACTCCGCTGGGATCACGGATACTGTCTTTTCTAGCTTCTCATTTAGTTTTTGCAGATTCGTTTCTGCTGTGGTGGCGAGCTCATGTCGTGCGCTCGTTAGGTTCGCTAGCATTGGTTTCACGATGTACTCGCTTGCGCCATAGAGACTTGCTGCCAGGCCTGTGGCGCCGTATAGTGTGTACAAGAGGCTGCGCATTGTCACGAGGGGTGCCGGCCTGGATGGCTCGAAGAGGAATTCGGGGTAGGTGATTATTGGGGGGACATCGCGGGGGGCCATGGCTGGTGCTGGCGCTGGTGCTTGGTGCGCTTGAGGCACGGTGTTGGAGGGTAGCGAGGAGGTGGTAGGAGAAGAAGAAGGGGTGGCTTCGGATTGATTAGGTGAGGTAGTTGAAGTGTCTTCCTGCGTCTTGTGCTCAGCTGCGGTTGAGCTGCTACTCGCCTCTGCGTTGTGAGGGATGCCGAGAATTTGCTGGATATCATCTGAGCTCAAGCCTTTTGACTCGAGAAATGAGACTTTCCGCTCTGTTGGTGCATCGCGGATAGACTCGTCTTCTAGGAATTTGGATGCTTGGTCTAGAAGAGCTTGGCGGGATGTGGAGGCTGTAGGTGCGGGCGCATCGTCGGAGGTTGGCGATGGCAACTCCCCGGCTGTCTGATTAGGCCTCTGCCAGGAGGTAATAGACGTCGATTTGGATGTGTCGTCGGACATAATCAGGTACCTGACACATTGACCAGAGATATGAGAAAGTAAAAGAGTTGGGGTGTTGTTGAGAGGAGAGGGAACCTTCCCCGGACTTGGGGCCATGTGAGCCCGACCTCGGCTGTTCCAACGCCGGTTTACACCTGAGGCATCCATATTGTTGCACGCTTCAATATCACGCCGATGCGTGTTCACAGTGCATGCAAATGCGACATTATTTGAGGTTAATTCAAACCGAGATCTTAAGAAATGTGTTCCAATTGCTTTTAGGTAGCTATCTATCAAACATCCAAGGTAATGAACAAAAGGTACTATGCATCGTTCTTCACCAAAAATAGCCTGTATGTGAGACGAAGCCATACCACCTGACTTCCAGGTCCTATTGACAGGTATAGAGTCTTAAATGCCATTATTTTCTATACTATATTATAGAGACATGAATTGAATTATTGAAAGACCATCCCCAATTAGTTCAAATGCATCCGTATACACTTGAGACCGCCCGGCAGAATGGACCGAGCAGTACTTCATTCGTTCATCCAGCGTCAGCGACTGGACACCTGGAGAAATCTGAAACTTTAGAGAAAAGTACTTGTGAGTATGGAGTTTCTCCCGTTCATCGTGCTGTTTTGTCTTCCTTCCTATCTGCCTCAGCCCCGGGGTTGTTTAGACCCAGAAACCCCCCAGGAGAAGCCAGGAGAAACAACCCCCAAAAGCCTGATCCCCTGGAGTAGTGCGCTTTGTTCGCACTGGAAAAATCCTGTATAGACAAGCAATCTGTATCTTTCCGGTTTGCAACTCCGCCTCGCTCTCCGTGGATAAAGTGATTGGACAGCCCTCCTTTCTTCTCCCTCTCTCTATCTCCCCATACTGCTCCCTCCCCAAACGGCTTAATGGCTTAGTTCATACTGCCACACACTTGCCTATTGACCTTCCCTGTCCCGCTTCTTTTTACTGTTCTGGTTTTTGCATTTTCACCTTCCCCAAGACTTCTGTCACACTCGATAAAGCTGCCACCATGTCTCTCCGTCGATCCCTTCGATCCCGAAAGACGATGGATGACACCCCAAAACCAGAAGCTAACATGGCCACCAGGTCTACGAGACAAACTCGCTCCTTTACTTCTGCATCTGCTCTAGTCTCTGTCTCTCGATCTTCATTGAATTCAGGGGATCGAAAGCGATCTCTCCGTCTAACTGTCAAAATGGCCTCCAGCAAATTACGGGATGCTACGAGTGCTGGTCGTTCTGCTGGACGGCGCTCAGTCAATGTATTCCGGGAAGATCCAATTGTTTCGGGACCCCGCTCCAGTCGGAACCGAAAGAAGATTGTAGAAGTTGCTACAAGCGACGAAGAGGAAATCGACGACCAAGAAGAGGATGAAGCCGAAGATGAAGATGCACCTGGAGATGAAGATGATGACGCTGACGCTGATGGCGACATTGATATGGACGACATCCAGCCTCAGGCCCCTACCAGGCGCGGTAAGATCACTCCTCCGTCTCGTGCCAAGCCGCCCAAGAGTGTGGAGACCAAGGAGATGGAAATGGAAGAAGACGAAGAGGAAGAAGAAGACGATGATGAAGAGCCTATTTCCGATACGGATGAAGACGCCGAAGCTGAGGGTGAAGATCAGGACGAAATTGCAGCCCCAGACGTCGCCGTTGATGATCTAGATGAACTTGACGAAGAAGATGAAATTGATGAGGAAATGGATAGTGATGTCCTCGCCATTCAAAGTGGCAAAACCACCAAGCGCCAGCGAGGAAATCTAGGAAATGATTTCTTGCAACTTCCCATGGGTGAGAAACTACAGATTTAGGATTTTTCGAACCCAAAGCTAACTTGGAAACAGAGCCTCAGGTTAAGAAGCATTTGACCGCCGAGGAGCGTCAGATGCGTCGTGCAGAGATGGCGCGGCGAAGGAAAAATCTAAGTGAGAAGCGAAATGAAGAGGAAAAAGTACGCGCGAAATGCCACTTAAAACAATTCATAGGAGAACGGCCGCTAACTTTACACACCAGATGGACACTATCAACCGACTGCTCAAGAAGCAGGCCCCCAAGCGGCGCGGTCGAGCTGCGGCGGCCGAGGCTGTTGATGGCACCCCCGGCCAAGAGGGCGCGGAGGCCGAGAAAGCCTACCCTACCATGTCGCGGTGGATCAGCGGTTCAAACGGCTGCAGAGTCGCTGTGCCAGAAGAATGGCTGGGTACACCTGCTGGATGTGTCTTCGGCGCACCTGCCGTTCACACTGGAAAAATGGTTGAAGAGGTTTGATGTTACATGCAGGAACTACAACGGATCGGCGCTTATGGAAGGATTCTCTACTATGGTAATCGGAAAACGGACTACATCATTTGCAGGGGACTAGGGTTTATTTTCTGTATGTGCTGCAAACGGCGTTCAAAACATGTCTCTTTCAAATGTCCAGGTTTAAATGCCATGCAATACATCGACTGTTTCAACTATTTCCAGATACACACGCACTTGCCGAGAAAATCGGCTTATACATTTATTTAGTCGGAGACCCTCAATAGTACGCGGGCTAGCCAATTCCCGGTCACCATTCAGTGCCCTACCCACAACTACTTCGTCAAAGGCCGTTGAGCCAATTCGATATCATCAAAGGCCTCCAAGGCCTGTCACAAGACTGACCAGTGTGGCACAGCGAAAGACATGGTGCCGTGTGCGCCGGAGTGCGGAGAAGAGCACGAGTTCCAATGGAGCATAGTGCGCCGAGAACAGACTGCTGGTACAATCATGCCTGGTAGCACTCAGGCCTAGTCAGTGTTCAGAATGCCACTTCAAGGGAAGGCCGGTCATTGTCATTGAGTCGTCGACTTCGGATCTTGCTCAAGGTTGGTTTTCGTGGGAGAATTGGTGTCCTGCTTCAATACAGTAGCACCAGACGGATGTGAGGTCTTCTGAGCGTGCTCTCTTTCATATTGAAGTTGCTGGAATGTCGGTTGGAAAGTATAGTAGCCTGGAGCAGATGAAGAGTTCGAGGTTAGGGTTTGATACCAGACATGAGCCCTTGCCGTAAAGCAGATTTACCTGTAAAGACACCCACGCCAATGGCGAAAATGGCAGGGAAAAAATTGCGACTCATTTCGGAGGAATTGGGGGGCGACGGCGAGATTTGCAGTTGGTTGGAGGTTGCGGTGATGCGGGAAATCGGTTATCAGTTGGCTGATTAGCAACCGGCGCGTCTGCTAAATTGCCCCGTTGGCACGCGTCGGAATCAAATTCCCTGCATTCAGACTGTTTGAATACTTGTTCGACGTTTGATCTCCTTGAGTTTCGTGAATTTTAGCCCGAGAAATATCCTACTCACGTTTTAAATCGCATTAAGACCACCCAATGACTGTTTAAAGACATGGGGGATCCCCGCCAAGGATGCAAATGGAATCATGGCGACAACGAGGATATGTCCCCGACTCGGACGAGGAAGATGGCTTCGATTCTCTAGACTCGAAGAAGGGAAATGTCGGAAACAGCCCTACTGTCGAAAATCTCGAATACATCGACACCCCTTCATCTTCGCCGAAGGAAGGGACATCGAGTGTAGCGAAGGAGCAACAAGAGCACGTTCGGGCTGAAAATGGCTCCATTACACTCTCAGATACAGAGGAGATGGCTTACCGGAATACGAATCGACCAAGTCCTCACTTTACAATTACCGCGCATGACGAAACGACACCAAAACAAAGAAGAGGACGCAAGACCTACGGACCTCGATCGTCGGCTACGAAAGCAACAAATCGCCGCAGCAGCGAGACGTGTAATACTAGTGCCTCCGCAAAGAATTCAAACAGCATATACGATTTCCCAACGTCATCGCAGGAACATGAAAGGTCTCTATCCAAACGCTCGAGCTGCGAGTCTACACCAAAGCCCTTGAAGACCACACAGCCCTCGCAATCACATGTCATAGCAGAGCCGCATACCTCAAAGGCAACCACAAAAGATGAAACCTCAAGCACTAGGAGCTCTTCGCCTGACGAGCTGACATTGATCTCTCAGCCACCTCAGAAGAAAAAGCCCGTGGTCCAGCACGTCCAGCCAAAAGAGCCGCCGCAGTTACCGCCACAATCATCGCTACAGGAGGAGGCTTCGGATGATGATTCTCCACTCTCTTCTGTGCCGTCCTCTTTTGGCTCTCCGCCGGCCAATGATTCTACAGAACTACACCTAGATGGTATGATGGAGGTGGAACCAGAAAGACCGGCAGGTGGGGATGCAGATCTACGACAAGCAGTGCTCGTTGAGCTAGATGCCATCCCAGATGATGTTCTGCCTCGCCTTGATATCCCCGAAGAAGTGTTGCGAGAATTGCCGCATGCTGCGCAAAGAACATTCCGAAAGCGCAATGCTATCCAACTGCAACCTTATTATTTGGAACAGGTCAAGTTTGCTCAGCAATTGCAAGCACGGGGCGTCAAACCGTTTGGTCGACCTGCACAGCAAAGACAGCAGGTAACTGATGAAAGTCAAGGGCAAGATTCATATGACCCTGATGCACTTCCCTCAAGCCCTCCCCTGGAAGAGTATCTTCCGCCGATAAGATATGAACGAAATCGTGGCCCACAATATGCTGCGCAAGGACAGGGGCGCAAAGAGTCAGAGCATTCTCGATCATTGCAAGCTCATGTGGCAAAGCGCCAGAAGACTTCTCATTCTGGAACTCCTAAAGCACGTCGAAATTTACACAAACCGTCTAAACCACGTGGTATTAGAGACCGAATTACAGATACCGAAAAACAAGTCGGTAACTCCATATATGAGCTATCATCTAGCCCCCCACATGCAGGCCGTTTATCTTCAACCTCAAGAACCCCGCGTGCCTCAGAAGGGGGGTTTCGGTTTCCTCGCGGGTGGTCACCGCCGGGAGAATTTTCGAAAACTGGGGCGCAGGGAACAAAAGAAGCCAGCCGGGTCCAATCAACTGGTGTGTGTAGAGATGTTGACACGGAAGTACAGTCCATCTCCTCCAACAGTCAGAGTGATCCAGAAGAAACCGGTTCAGATGCTGAAGAACGTGAAATTCGACGATTTCAACGAATGATCAGAGGAGCGCTCCCTGCGTCGCATGCTCGGTTAGATCAAAGGAAAATCGCAGATAGACAAAAAGTCTCGCAGCTAGATCGTCATGTTTCTTCACAACGGCCAGATGGAAAGGGTGTTGCGCGGAAGCTCATTAGAAAGAGTGATCGCTCAAGGGAACCAGCAATGCAACAATCAAGGGGCTTGTTTGATCTTGGAGATTCTGACTCGGACGATGAAGAAAAACGCAACGATGCCACAGGAAACGTCTCCATGACCAGTGACTCCAGCCAAAGCCTGACTGGCACTCTTAACCTCCAAGAATCCTTCGCACTGGAAGGGGGTGATATCTCTGAAGATAATCGCATCGACTACATGATTGGGCCTGTTCCGCGCAACTCGAAAGGCTCTCGCCACAAACCAAACAGTTTGAAAAGACCAAAATCGAAAATTGGTTCGTTCAACGGGGAAAGACAACGGAAGAGACCTCGACAAACCCGAATGACCGATGCCTCCTATGGAACACGAAGGACCAAGAAACACTCAACTATTCTGCGACCTAGAATAGGAATACTGGATGCGCCAGATGTTGCCACGAAGCCTCGAACAGAGCAATCACGACTGCTCAGGGTAGCGGCAAGACGACCACGCTCACGTAAAGATGGAGGCAGGCAGAGCCCTACTCATAAATTTGTGAAACTGGCCTCAAGAGAGGACACAATAGATGCAAATGAGTCTCTACGAGACTGGCAAAGGGGAGTTATTCGGCAGGCCAAGATATACCCACCTCGTTCCAGAGCTCCCCAACACAGGCACTGGTCAACCAATCTTTCGATGCTTAGTGCTCGAGCCAAATCGAATTCTAATATCGGCCGGATACCGAACAATATCCATGATGCAGAGGTAGATGCCGACTTTTCAAACACCAACACAGTTGAACTGGAACATGCCCAGATGGCACCCAAATCTAGCGCAATATCAGTCCCGCCAAACCAAGCCCCCATGGCCGAGTCCTTTTCCCGCCAAAAAACTGATCAGCACGCTCGCACATGGGTCATTCCCAGGAATGTTGCCATAACATCTTTGAAGAGGAACACTATCAGGCCTGCGGCAACTAGTTTGGCAGGCCCTGGTAGAAGCCAAAAAATGGTTCCGGCCATGTTCAACCAGTCATTGTCCCTCCTTAATCGACACTATAAAAACCAACGCACATCACAACCTTACAAGCCCAGCTTGACCTTAGATCGATATGTATCCGACGGTGGATCATGGAGCACTGGAGGAAATACCTCGCCCATGAATGCTTCTGTCACTGCTGCCGCCTCAGCTGAAGTACGAACTCATGTGCCAACTCCCAAAGCCCCTGTATCTCGACGGCGGTTGAAGAAGCACCCCCCCAACCGACTAAATCTGGATGCCGACGAATTCCGTCAGAATCCAGATCCTGCTACCATACTCTCCGATGACTCCGAATCTCCTACTGTAACGGGGGCCGTACCTGCACGTCCTTCATCTTTCGGTGTTGGCGGGCTTTTCAACTGGCAACGCTTCTATCCGGTCGATTTTGGAATCCCATCCCTACGTGACAACACTTTCTTCCATGAAAGTACCTTCATAGGAAGTGGGGAATTCTCTCGTTCATTGCGAATCGCAGAGCGGGACTTCGATGGTGATGCCGCTTTATTCTCCATCCAGCTCAGAGACGAAACATTCCAATGGAGTCGCTGGAACGATAGAGTATCATCGGAGATGGGGCATGTTTTTGATATGATTACCGACAACGTTGAGCGAAGTGCTGTTACCTCCCCAGAGACCGGTATTACAGCAGCTCTAGGTGTGGCATCGAGGTTATACAGGTTATTGATTAAATTTACTACTGGGAACCTGGTTTTCATCGACCCAGTTGACCGTACAGGGTTTGTCACTAGAGCAATGGGGCTGGTCTCCCAGGTGAAAGACCCGTTGGCTGCCTTTCTAACCAGCGACGAATACAACAAGAGCGGGCTCGTCAAAATTGCTTGCTTCAACATGATTTTCTCCAACCAGATCTATCAAGTTGCTTCTCATCGGCTTGTCAGCCCTGCCCTTGCGGCTGAAGCTTTGGATCTTGTCAAAACATCTGCAAAAGACGTTGTAGGCTTGATCACGTCTAAAGTTGGCTCTTCTGAGTTTGAACTGTTCTTCAAGGAAAACAACGAGCCTGGACGCCGCGATTCGGGGATTCGTGATGAGTTCCCATCAGCGGAGGCTTACGTCGTTACCAAACATCTTTTACGCAGCTCAGACATCCATAAGGGCTACTTTGAAGATCTTCAGCTTGAGACTTTCAACAATCGTATCATTCGCAATGAAATGGATGTGGGCAACCTAGAGGCTGGATGGCGTGGGTTATTTACAGTCTTGCCCCTCAACGAAATAGACATGCTTGGAATTGCACGCCCTGGTTATCAGTTGACAGCTGCCAATGACAATTGGAAATTGGCTAAACGGCTTCTCGCCCCAGCTCTGGACCAGTTTGAGTCCAACTCCAAGGCGCAACCCTTCTCATACAATACCTACTGTCGAACCTTGTTCCTCAGATGCCATCGGCTCATCAATTCCTGGGGGTGGAGAGAATGCAAACCTATCCTGGACACGCTATTCGACTTCTTCGCCAAGAACACCCTCCACAACCTGAAACTCGAGGAAGCTCGTGGATCACCTTCATTTCTTGACGAACTTGATAGTAATCCCTCTCTGGATGCCCGAGTGGGGGAACCGTGCTTCCACACATTTCTCAAGATCGTAGCAAGTGGTCTTCGCTTCTTGGCAAAGAGATATGACACGAAAAAGATTCGAAACTTTGCCTGGCGTCTTCTACCCAACCACGGCCGTGTATACCCGAAAGAGCAGCCCTTGCAGCACGAAGACCTCGACGCACTAAGAAATCACCACGATCTTCTCAGCACCCTGTACTGGGCTGTCCCTGATGGGTGCCGCCCTCGACTGGAGACAATACGCAATCTAGTTCATCCTGCCACTTCACACCGTGAAGCGTGCAGCATCAATTTGCGCTCATGGTCAAGGCTCGTTCGATTTAAGCTTTCTACAGATGAAGAAGTTTCGGGACTCGATCCGTTTGGAGACTGGTATGGTTATTTTGTTACGGAGCTGCAGCAACAGCATTCGTATGCTCGTAAAGAGATTGAGGCTCAAAACACAGGCGACAATCGGGTTTCTCAACAGCTTGTTGAACGCACAATCTCCCAGAACCAGCGGCAGATTGAGACTTTGTTGAGCAACGCGCTTAGCGGGATGCGAATTGCCGTCCAGCTCGCTCCGAAACTGGAGCATGCACACAGGCTTGTTCTGAGGACGCCTTTCGAGTCTATCCTTACACTTTTCAACCCCAAGCTCCCGCGTGTGAACGTTGTTGTATCTGAGGCTCTGCAGGTTCTGGTAGCATACATCCAGAAAGACGCCCCAGCTGCAACCACATCAGATACTCCCGTAGTGGTAAATACCGATGACGACAGCCAGGAGTTCGGTGACTGGGATGCCATTCAGGCCGTTTGGGACCAGCAGAGTTCCCTTAGCGAGGGCATTGAATATGTACAGCAGGCTTTCCATCCAATTGTCTCTCGTCTCGTTTCGAATTGCTTTGGCGAGGACCATTGCCCCGAAGACGCGATTCTTCTCAATGTTGTAGAATGCTGGACGTCAATTGCCCAAGTTCTCATTCGCCATGGCCTCCGAAATTGGGACAATTACCTGAGCGAGTTTGGCGACGATTCCTGGACGCGCCTTCGACAGACGGTTCAGACAAGAAAGTTCGCACCGCTATTCCTCGCGGCTTGTATTGAAAAAAATGCGCAGATTGTCTCTGATTGCAGAATCCAAGTTATGAGTATGTGGATATCCTCGCTAGTCGAGCGCTCCTCGATGTTGAAATTTCAACACCGTCTCACGGAGGCGCTTTTGAACGGAAGTCCCACAGATCCATTGCTTGCGAATCTTCCATTTTACAAGGATAAGAAGATCGGCAGGTATTTAATCACATTGGAAGAAATTGGCTCTCGGCGACAATCTCTCCTCTCGAGCTTGTCGTCTAACATGCGTGAGCAGCTCCTGAGCATGGAACTTTCTGGCGATCGGAACTTTCCTGTGACAAAACAAGATTACTCCGAAATCCTTCGGCGGGTGATGACATCCATGAAAGACAACTACCAAGAGCTAGGTAATGGAACAGCGCAGGCTGCCCAAGGAGAGTACGTGATGTTTGTGCAACTTGTGATCGGTTTCCTTCAGCAACATACCAGCGACATCCAACCCATCGACCCCTTCTTCACAGACCCTGCTTCGTTCCCTCTTCCGTCTACTGACCCACGGTACATTGTTGCGAAGCTTAAACGCTACGAGTCGAAGTTATCTTCCAGCAAAGAGATCCAGACGTTGACCGGGTTCGTCCAGAGCATTTCCGAGCGTGCTGCCATTGACGGCCAACAGAGCTACCTGGTTGATCAACTGCACACATCGATGAAGAATACCTACGAAGCTGGGGACCACGAAAAACCCACTCTCCGGGCCGTCCTCTTGCAATCCGTGTTTCCAGTGTATCTCGAAGCGACGCTTTCCAACCGCGCCGCCTGGATCCTCAGCCGTCCCATTATCCAAACCATCACACTGGAGTTTAAGAACCTTCTGTGTTACACAGACACTCTGGATACAGCCTGTGTATCGTCTGTCATCGATATCCTTGATGTAGTGTGCCGAGCCTCCTGTCAAGCAGTGACTGTTGTCGCCCTCCGTCGCCATAGTCTGCAAAGCCCTGTAACTATCCTCATGCTTGCGGCGATCCTTGATATGATCTCTTCGGCCCTGCCAGTGGTAGATTACATCGATCGAACCGCCGGCGCAGGGCAGGGTATTCTTACGCACATCAAGTGGATCCGCGATTTCACAAAAGCCGTGAGCACAAGTCTACAAAGCATAGATCCAGACGCAGACTTGTCTTCGAGCAGTGCTCATATCACATTCCCTGCGGTGCCACCTCCATCCGATAGCAGGAAGACCAAACTACTCAGCACGGCTAACAACCTCGCCTCGAATGACCTTCAAATCTATCTCAGAAAATGGTCTTATCATCGGGGCAAGTACTACTTTACTCGTCCTGGTCACGACTCACAAGAGATCCCAATCGAACCTGAGATGGCTGGTCTGGTGGCTAGTCCGAGTGAAGCGCAGAAGGTGTTTGAAGCTGCAGCTAGGGGATTTGTTGATCGTGCAAAGTTTCTGGAGTTGTTGACTTGACTTGGTGGTTATTCTATTTCGGTCTTTATATCCACGGCGTTCTATTTAGGGGGGGTGGTGTTTCCGTGCCACGAATTATAATCGAAAGGCCCAATATTGTTACGTTGTGCGGTATCGACCATGTTGCTGCTACAATGGAGGCTATAGTCTTCGGATTCCAATGCACCCTGTATGCTTTCCTGTGTGTAATTCTCGAACATATATACAAAACGACTACTCATAGCAAAACTCCGAGAATGTTGAGACGGAGAAGGAGTCGAGTCGTGCATCATGCAAGGGCTACCTATGCCAATGGGTCCAGTGCAACCAGCCCAAAATCAATTAGGGCTGCGTACCCAGACTTAGCCTGGATCTGTAGGTCACCATGGAATGCAATCTCCGGGGAATGTAATCTCCTTTGAACAATGAATCTCTGTAGACTGCCACAATCTACGACACCTGTTGATGTATCTACCCATGTCTCAGATCTAACTTTCCATATATTGTTTCATTACTTCCCTAGTTTCCGCCTCCTCTGAGAGATCTTCCACTATCATTTCTGGTTCCTAGGCTTTGCTGTCTGTCAGAGAAATCCAACATAATCTCATCAGGCCCCCTCTGTCAGACGCTATAGGACCTTCATTCTCTCCAAGTTGGAGAATCTTCCAGCCCATAGGTGGCCTAATTATCGAAAGAGCCTGATAGGCACCGCTTTATAGTGCCAATGAACCGAAATGTTACCCCGACGACGAAGCACGGTGACGAGGCGCGTTTGTCATGTTCTGAACATATTGCGAATTGAATCGCACTTGGCGAAAGACGGTTTCCCCCGTGATAATTTGTTTCGGCATTTCAAAATTGAATCATGCGTATGGGCCACGAGCAAAAAGCCTATGGTAAGGGGGTCCGTCATCCATCGGAAGTACCGTGGACAACTATATCGGTGTTCAACCTCGATTCGAGTTGTGTCCGGCAGTTTCATTACCTTGATCAGCTGGCATATAGATCCTAAGTTGAGAATAGCGCCTGTGATATTCAGCCCCTACTGTAGCATTTCAACATCCGATTGAGTCCTTGGCTTGCGCGTGATCGACGGGCCCTGGGCACCTCAGCGATTCAATATGCCGCAGAGGTAAACGGCAAAGATGAAATATGGAGGCACACGAAAATTCCACGGATGCTACATAATCTCACGTGGGCGTGATGGTATGTCGGGTGTTACAATTTTATGCGGAAAGAAGGAGCCAAGTTTTATACTCGCCGTTGAAGTTATTGTCCCAGGTTGATATTGGTATTTCACTTGTCTCGCATTATATGTGTAGGGCCTAGTGCATTCTGTAACGTTTCAACCGATATTATATCCTGGACGGGGAACTATATAATCTGTGAAGAGATCTCGGAAATCCACCATCACCAATTCACAAGTTCAACACTGAAGCCAACATGATTTGGAAATCTTTCTTTAGTGCTGTGGCCCCATTGGCCCATATCTTCCCAGCCTTAGCTGCCCCTACTCTCGATTTGGAGTTGGCTAGTCAATCACAAGACAAACATGTCTTTGCCCACTTCATGGTTAGCATGCTAGTACCCGAAAACGTTCCATCCTCTATCATTGACAAGTCATCCACATATTTAGGTTGGAATAGTGAAAGACTACCAGCTATCAGACTGGAAAGAAGACATGACGACAGCCCAATCCATCGGCATTGACGCATTCGCACTGAACTGCGCCAGCGTAGACAGCTACACCCCAACCCAGCTAGCCCTAGCCTACGAAGCCGCCCAGCAGGTCAACTTCAAAGTGTTCATCTCCTTTGATTTTGCGTACTGGACCAACGGGGACACAACAAAGATCACAGAGTACATGAATCAATATGCAGGCCACCCGGCACAGATGCAGTACAAGGGAGGTGCAGTAGTAAGTTCATTTGTCGGAGACAGTTTCAATTGGGAAGCAGTGAAGCAAGGCACATCCCACCCTCTTTACGCATTGCCCAACCTCCAAGATCCAGCCGAGGCTACGACCGGTCCTGCGAAGAGTGCGGATGGTGCGTTCTCGTGGTTGGCGTGGCCTACCGATGGGGGAAATAGCATCATCCCAGGACCGATGACTACGGTCTGGGATGATAGATTTGTTCATTATCTCGCGGGAAAAACTTATATGGCTCGTGAGCAGCTCTTGAATCCAATTTTGATCCCTGACGGAAGAGTCGACTAACTCAACAATAGCCGTCTCACCTTGGTTCTCCACGCACTTCAACACCAAGAACTGGGTTTTCGTTTGCGAGAATCTGCCAACATTACGTTGGGAACAAATGCTTTCCCTTCAGCCGGATCTGATTGAGATTGTTTCATGGAATGGTAACATTGATCTTATAGCCCCGAGAACCATCTCCGGAAACGTCTCTCTCCTAACGGCAGTCATATAGACTACGGCGAATCCCACTACATCGGCCCTTACTCAACCCACCACAGCGACGACGGCTCTTCTCAGTGGGCAGCGGACATGCCCCACGGCGGTTGGCGTAACCTATTCAAGCCCTATATCGCAGCCTACAAATCCGGCGCAAAAACACCTACCGTGGAAGCAGACGAAGTTGTGTACTGGTACCGACCTACACCCAAGGGCGTCGTGTGCACGGGAGATAACCTGTCAGCACCAATGGGTACTGATATGCTCAGTGATAGTATCTTCGTCGCGACTATGTTAACAAGCTCAGCTACCTTGACTGTGCAGAGTGGGAACAATGCTCCGGTTAGCATTGATGTTCCGGCGGGGATTGTTACTTCGAATGTGACGATGGGGGTTGGGGCCCAGTCTTTCAAGGTGACTCGCAATGGACAGACGATTTTGAGTGGCCAGGGAGGTTTGGCTGTTCAGGATAATTGTGTTCATTACAACTTCAACGTTTATGTTGGGTCGATCACTGGAAGTAGTTAGTGACATGCGACATTATGGAGCATTTCCGGGCGATTGGTTATTTTTAGAGAACTACAGGCACAGAGGCTTAACCACTATCGGTATACCTACGGTGTTCTATTAGAGAATGGCTTTTTCTTGACATGTCGTGTCTGTCCCGTAGTTTCCCCGTGCTGTCCCCGTCTGTCCCCGCCGATAGGGCACTTTGAACCATCACGATAGGGGTTTTCCACAGGCTCCATAATAAATGGTTTTGCTGCAACGCACATAATTCACCGTCCCACACATATGGCTTCTCCGTATCGGCGCGTTGCTGTTATAGGAGCAGGGCCCTCCGGACTGGCAGCTGTGAGGGCGCTTGAACGAGAAGGATCATTTGATTATATCCGTGTTTTTGAGCGAAAGAGTACGGCTGGCGGTTTATGGTTAGTACGTGGTCATTTTTGATGAACTTTCAACTAATACGGACTCGTTGTTGTAGGGCTTATGAGCCAGAACCAGACAGTTTTCAAGTGAACACTCAAAGCGAGGTCCCGAAGATTCCTAGTCAACTTGCAGCCAGAACTCCTTGTCTCATGCCGGCGACCCCAGAGCCTCAGGGCCTCCGGGGAGCGGCCTATGAGACCCTTGACACTAATGCCGGGGCCCGCACACTGGCCTTCACGCACACGCCGCTGCCAAATGGCAATTCGGTAGCCTCTATACGGAAATTCGGTCGAGACAATCCATCTCGACCGCGTCATCTTGCTTTACACTATCTGCAGGATCTGTTTATTCCTTTTCTACATTTACTCGTTGTTGAGACCACTGTTGAAAAGGCCGAGAAAACTGATGACGGTCAATGGAAGCTCACGCTACGACGCCGAAACGTCGAACACGGCACATCAAATCCACCGAAGGATTACTGGTGGGAAGAGCGATTTGATGCATTGGTGGTAGCCTCGGGACATTTCACGGTCCCTAACATTCCTGATATCGAAGGTCTAGTCGAGACCTCCACGGAGTTTCCGGATAAGTTTGAGCATTCCAAATCCTGGAGGTCCCAAAACTCACATATGTCAATAAGGTCCGTCTGAAGCTGGGATGAATGATACGAACAGCATCTCAGTCACTGGATGCTGATCTTGTCTTTGATGGATTTTAGAAAATTGTCATTGTGGGCGGCGGCATATCCGCTGCAGACCTTGTTGAGGACCTCCACGAAATCGTCAAGGGCCCGCTGTACGTCTCCCGACGCAGCGATGTGGGCTTCCTCGAAGATGCATGGTGTCTTCCCAACGTGATCAGTAAAACGACAATCTCGCGCATATCCGGTGCTTCTGGCGGTACGGTAGAGTTCCAGGATGGGACAAGCATCACGGGCGTCGACAAGGTTATTTTCGCTACAGGATACAAGATATCGTATCCGTTTTTGCCTTTCGAGGCTGTTGCTCCTCAGAACAGACTGGCCGGATTCTATCAGCACCTTTTCCAAATCGGTGATCCCTCCCTTGCTGTAATCGGTCAGGTGAGTTTATCCCGACAATTCCATAGGAGTTCACAGGATTCCAAACAGTTAGGACAGTTATGCTGATTCCGTGCAGGTCCGAGCAGCAATCAGCTTCCGCATCTACGAGTATCAGGCTGTGGCGGTTAGTCGTTTCCTAGCTGGGCGTTCTAAAGAATTGCCTCGCAAAGCAGAACAAGAGGAATGGGAGGAACGGAGACTACAGTACAAGGGTTCTACCGAGCTGTTCCACGGAACAAAGCCGGATTCTGTGGACTACTATGGCTGGCTGCGAGAATTCGCAGGTCACCCAGCAGGAAAGCCTACGGAACATCTCCTGCCGGAATTTGAGGAAAATTGGGTTCAGAGCGATGTAGAAATCTTATTGGCGAGGCAGCAGTATTGGGCATCCCTCCTAGCTAAGCATCGTGCTTTGGATCATACAACAAAGGCATCGAGTTGAGAAGACCTGCATTCATCTTCAGTATAGCTGACAGCTAAATGCTCAACTATGGCCTTGGGCTTGAATAAATGTCTTCCTGTGATCATCTGCCATTGAAATGTATGGTATCAATTACTCCAGTTGACCAAGTTCCACATCTTACTCGCGAATTTCATATCTCTATCCTGAGAAAGAAAAGGGAAATGACAAGTTCTACAGCAACATGATGCCCGGGTGAAAGAATAAATCCACACCTGAGAGAAATAGAGCGTCCTGCATGGCTAAAATGACTGCCCTAGCCACTGTGGGCAACGAGCGAAATCCTTAAGCCATGGGCCTAAAGAATTATTGAAGAATTCTCATATTAACCGAAGAAAGCTTGACATGAATCTAGCAACAGAACGCTAGAGAACCTATGTAGCAGGGTTTGGATGTTAAAGCTTCGCAAATTCGGTCTGCGCGAAGTCTCGGAATGCAGCTTCAACATCGTGCTCCGCAAGCCATGCAATATCAGACAGCCCCGATATTCTCTCCCTTCGCTCTTTATCAGTCTCTTCCACCTTCCGCACATCTCTCAATTTCGCCTGCCGAGCGGCCAACCCAATCTGCACTAGATCAATGAGCTTGTTGACATGAGGGCGCCGGGTTCCATCAAATAGAGCCAATGCCCTCGCCACTTGAGGACGGTCTGGCTTTGCGTTCTTTTCGGTTGGCCAGATATGAGCCAAGGCCAACGCAAGAGCGTGGGTATCGTTCATTGCCTGGGAGCCCCCGGACGCGAACGCGCCACCGTGGGTATGTCCGGCATCGCCAATTAAAGCAACACAGGTTTCGGAGACCATTGATTTCAGAGGTATGCCCAGGTGGTTTGGATAGAGTCGCGTGGTTGGTGTCGCTTTTAGGATTTTTTCCACGGTTGGATGCCAGCCCTAGATGTTTCAGTCATGCTAAAACGTGGAAATGGATATTGTAGGGATTTCTAGATACCTTGTATAAGTCTCTCAATGTAGTCACGTCCCCTTCCGTATTCCACTGTGCTGTTCGAGATGGATTTTCTGGATCATCGGGATCAGACTGCGTTTGACCGACGACAGTGTACTGGGTTTTCCCTTGCGGCCCGTTGGCTTTCATTTTCCGGGCAAGCTTATGCTCCCCCCTTGGTTTGCAGACAGCGCCTGACGTACCTAATCGGGATGTGAAGAGGAAGTTCTCATTTGGTCCACAGTGGAACACAGCGTCAGCGGGTAGATCTTCGATCTTTTCCACCAAAGATCTATCAAAGGTAGACCTAAAGAGAATGTCTCCCGTCCATCGGAGACTGTGATTTGGAGCAAAAGCTTTCCTGACCACCGAGTGAATGCCGTCTGCGCCCACCAAGAGGTCTGCTTCGAAGGTAGTTTCGTCTTCGAAAGCAAGCAGAACGCCTCCGCCATCTTGCGGTGACTGGACCCGCACTGACTTCACTCTCTTGCTGAGCTTCATTGTCACTTTCTCGGGTAAACTCTCTAGCAAAAGTTTCTGAAGGTCTGCTCGATGGAAGCGAGCCATGGCATCGCGAGGATCTTTAACTGCATGGTGGGCGGTTTCTTTAAGCACCTCGCCTGTTAACCAGTGGAGGTAGACAAAAGGTCGACCACTAGGCTGTCGAGAAGCGACCTCTTCAATCAGCGCCGGGTTGACGCCGAGCTTGTAAAGAGAGCGCAGGCCATTTGGTCCTATTCCAATGCTTGCACCAACCGCTTTCAATTCCGTGGCCTGCTCAAAGATAGTCAGGCTCACGTTCAAGGGAAGTAGGCGCGCAAAAGCAATGGCCGCTGTCAAACCGCCATATCCTGCGCCGGCGATGGCGATTTTTAAATCGTCTTGTGTACTTTCGTGTCGCTTGGCCATGGTTGCACTCAGGGATTCCTTCTAGTAGTGGTTCCTAACATGCGGACTATAAGCGATGTTTCTTTGCCTGAGAGCCCCGATAAAATATAGGTCTCTTTGATTACAAGCTAGTGATACAGTATTCCGTATGATTGCTGATTAGATAGGAGTTTATCTCACAATGTGAGGGTTGTTCGGACTCCGTCCACGGAATGGCCGAAGAAGCGATGACGACCCCGGCGCGGGCCCCACCATGCTCGCAGCGATAGGATTCGGGGATCTCGCCAGGTCATTTTTGCGCAGAGCAGGTTTTCTTCATAGTTGTAGGGTTCGCGGGCTGTTTTGGCTGTGACAATCGCGTCATTCGGCTTTTCGAATAGTTGCGACACAGACGGATGTTGGACGAAGTTGGGGATGGAGTGATGGACCCTCAGAAAGGAACAACCTTGGCCTCGGGATAGAATAATCTCCACAAAACATTCTCAATTTCTCTATCTACATATTGTAAGATTCAATTCTCTGAACATGGCGCTACAGGGATTCTTCCTCTGCCAGTGATGCATAGCTCGAGGGTTTGTATTGTAGTCCATCTCCAAAGCGAAAGATCGGGTTTCTCGTATCGAAAGGCATGTCAGAGCGAGATGACCTCACTGCTTCCTCTGACAAGGGCAAATCGAAAGGAAGCTTGCCTTCAGGTTGGGCAACACCAAAAAGCACATCCAAGAGTGCTTCATCACTGGCGCCGTAGTTGACCAATAACGCGTTGGCCGCTTTGGAAATTTCAGGTATTGCTGCCGGACGATCCATGTGAATATCAACTATTGTGAGAGGAACGGCTCGGAAGATGCTGGATTGCCGTAACTTGTCTTCATCATCGAACTCGATAGGCCCGGAACGGAAGTGCGCCTCAAATCCTCCAGAACGTGGCTTAGCAGGTGCTCGGAGGCGTAGTAGGGCAAAGTCAGCCTCTTCCAAGGCTTCCACAACAATCAAGCCCCTGGTCCGAACAAGGTCTGGCGAAATTCCTTCAATGTAAACTTTCTGTTTCAGGCCCGACGCCAATGGGAGGAGGTCGTTGGTGTTTTTCAGTAACGTAATAGAGCGGCGTTGTGCATCCTGGCCGGCATCATAAAACTCCGAACAGCCTACAATAGCTGAAGCAGCCTCAACGTCCACGAAGGGGTTCTCGAATAGCCCCTGGAGGAATTTATCGGTCAGGAGGCGACGAACCGAGACATCGATTCGGGACTCGGGAACAATACCATCCTGGACAAGTTTCACGATCAACTCTGGACGAGACTCGCCCCCTAGTTGATCACAGCCGGCTTCAATCAAACGGTGCACTCTCTCGATCTCAGTAAGGTGTTCCACGCCCCAGGCACGAGCGGGCATGTCTTGGCCTCTGACGACTGCATCTGTGACGAGGCCCCAATCGGTGCAAATGATACCCTTGAAACCGAGTTCGTTCCTTAGGAGATCAGTGATGATTTGCCGATTGAAAGCAAAGCCAACCTCATCGTACTTTGTACCAATCGGCATGCCATAAGATGGCATTATTTGCGCCGTCCCTGCGTCAATCGCGGCTTTGAAAGGTCTGAGATGGTACTCCCAATTGTCGCCAGGGTATATCTGTTCACGACCGTAGGAAAAATGAGGGTCTTCTCCGTCCAGTTGTGGGCCACCACCGGGGAAGTGTTTTGTCATGGCCGATACCGAGGAAGGACCGAGGGGTCCGGGGCCCTGAAGACCTCGGATGTAAGCCACGGCTAGCTCACTTGAGAGCTCTGCATCCTCGCCGAATACACCACCAATGCGGGACCACCGTGGTTCCGTCGCTAGATCAACCTGAGGGTGAAGAGCTAGTCGCAATCCCACCGCAAGATACTCGCGACGGATGATATCCGCGAATCGCTCCACGAGAGCCGATGACCTCAGAGCAGCTAGGCCCAATGGTTCCGGCCATTGCGAGAACTTTCCGGCTTGGAACCCGGTTCCGATGTTGTTGGTGAAATGATTTCGTGGGTCGCTACTGAGTGTTATTGGTATACCAAGACGTGTCTCCTGGGCCAAGATCTGGATTTCGTTGTGCCACTCCGCCATGGTACGTGCATCGTCGATGCTTCCCAGCAGATTGAAATGGTTCATCGTCTTTTCACAAATCACGTTTTCGACGCCGTCGCGATTCAGTTTGGGCACATCAGTCGCAAGTGCCCCACCTGAGCTCATTGCAAGAATGTCATGAAACATCACGCCCGCCTTCTCCTCTAGAGTCATACGTCCTAAAAGATCGTCTACTCTGCTTTCCACAGGCAGAGAAGAGTTCCAGTAAGGAAGAGATGACCTGGTTTTGAGGTCATCCTGTGCAGACGACATAGCCATATGGAGATATCTGACTGACGAATCTTATATCAGAGTAAGCCAAAGAAAAGATAGAAATTATTTAGCCCTGCGTATGGAAGATAATTGCAGTGAAAGAAGAAATCTACCACGAGCGGGGATCGTAGTGGAGGGGCAAAAGATGAGGGGCAGAGATGGGAGACGAAGAAAACAAAAAAGAATTTCCGAGGTCGAACTTGCTTGAAGTTATATCTGACTAAGATTTGAGTGCCTTATAAACACCTACATTATCTGAGGCTTTAAAGTCATCAAGGAATTTATCTAGGGCTATGGGCTACATGTCTAGATATCTAGTAGATCGTCCTATTCGACTGTAGCAGGTTGATTTCACTGAGGCCACTCCTAGTTCACTAATACTAATATCGAAGGTATCGATTTCTTAGATGCTCTAAGTTGGACATCTAATGTCAACGCCCTTCATTTAATAAGTGACAGCAAGAACATAGTTGTGGGCCATTTTTCCCCTAAAGTGGATCGATAAAGAACTTATTCTCAAGATCACTGAGGTCAAGGACAGAGACATCAACCTTCGTTTTGACCAGATTTCCATCTGCATCAATTTCCTCAACGTAGCCCTCTCTAAAGTTTCCCAATGCGGCCTGTTCCTGAATCCATACTCCTCCATGTTTGATAGCGCGGCATCGGTCTTATGAGCCAGTACTAGATTTCGGTTTGGAGATGATAAGAAAAATAAGGATCAAGACCTTGATCGCCGCTTCTTTGTGTATCTATCTAGATGGTAGCTGTAGCTAGGTATCAGTGTCGTGATTTCAAGTTACTTGATACCGGTGTTGGACATTTTCCATAGATATGACGTCAATTTTACGATCAACTTGTGAGAATTTCCGACGAGACACCGATGATTCAAGCTCTGGGGACTAGTTTTATGTTGCAATCACTATCACCGTTCAAGACGAACCCCGTCAAATGAAAACTCTTCCAAGGTTCCAATGTCCGGGAGGAACGTTTTTTGTAGTCGATAATTCGACCCAAAAATGGAAGCCGTCCCTACATCTGAACAGAACCCCGTTCGGAGCCAAGCCCGTAGCGATATTAGCGTCCTTGTTAGTTCTCTAGTCGAAATCACGGAGAAGCTCAATATCCCCTTTAAATTAGCCTAGCATGCGAATGCAAGAAATTTTTGGTCGTTCGGATAGACTTCAGCCCATGCAGGGCTCATGCAATACAGACCGTTAACTTGCACATCACCCAGATTGATGACCTGAGAATAATCTCCTGCTGAGGTCCAGGCCTTTCAAAGCATTAGATAAAAGTTGATTGTGCTCCATACATAAGTGTATAGAACTCTTTCGGTGCCGGTAGGAGTTGGGTCTCGCCGCTATCGTTGCCACAACCTTTTTCCCGGCACGCCATGAGCGACCGATCTTTAGCCTGCGAAGTACAAGAACCACATATCAGCATGACTCTTTCTTAACTTCCAAGTCTAGTTGCTGGATTGTTAGATTGTTGGATTTAGAATGGCGAAGTGACCTCAATGGCATCCAATAAATCAAAATCTGTGCCTGGACCCCGCGCAGCACCTCGCACCCTTAGTCCCGTCGACGAAATCGACAAACTTGCTCCGCTAGCTTGCACTGGATGTAGGCGGAAGCACGTCAAATGTGATACAGCGATTCCAAGTTGCATGCGCTGCATTTCCTCCGGGGCACAATGTCAATATCTCCCTTCTCGACGGGGTCCGAAGAGGCGGGCAATTCATGTTGACCAATCTTTGAATACGACAGCCTTACCGGAACGCGTGGAGCATCGTATGCCATGCCTACGTTTTCAGTGCCTATTGACCTGAGCACCCATTCTTCCAGAGCTCGTACCCCATCAGCTGCGTGGGAAGGTAGGCCAAATGATGAAGCCACAGGTCCTCCTGCTGCCAATCACATCTCGTCGCCCTCGTCTGCCCGTGATGGCCTTGGGGCGTCTGCAACCAGTCACGCCCCGGCCAGTATATATGGTATAGTGCAAGGTATTACAAGTCTTCCGTCAAGACATGATCAAGCCCCAGGCTTAACATCTATATCAGTTGAGTGGCAGAAGGAACCAGGTCCTCCGTCGGTAGAGGATGACGAGGCCTTGATCAATCTGTAGTATGCAAATTTCCATGCTGCTCACCCGATCCTGGTACCGCGTAGTCTCTATGCGTTGCAGGCCTACCCAGATAGTCTCAAGCTAGCGGTTCATTTTGTGGGGAGTCAATTTTCCAGGACTGTTTCTAGCGATGCGCTCTTCAGTCTAGTGACCGACCAAGTTTCCAAGGCCGAAGCTGAAGATACACCCACAACCATATTTCATCTCGTGCAAGCAAAGCTTCTCTTTTCGATCGCACTTCACGCTTGCAATGAGATCCAGGAGTCTACGGCAGTCCTCGCGCAAGCCGTGTTCCTGGCTCTGGAGATGGGTATGCACAAAAAGCGCTCCCCAATCGTACATGGCACGCGATCAGCTCTTGAGGAGGAGAGCATGCGCAGGACGTGGTGGGAGCTGTACGTGACAGATGGGTTGATGGCCGCGCTGCAGCGCAAGCCTAGCTTTCACTGTCATACCGCGGAGTCTAACGTGCTCCCACCGTGCGATGAATCCTCTTATCTGGAAGGCCCATTCACAAACGAGCCCCTGTCGCTCGCCCAATTCGACGCACGGATCTATTCCGAGGAGGAGATCATATTCTCCTCATTTAGCTACCGGATCGGGGCGATACGTCTTCTAGCGCGGGTCCTCGCCATTGCCTGGACGCATGATCTGCACGAGGACCATGTCAAGATCATTGATAGCGCCCTGGCAGCGTGGCCGCACCACCTGGATCTGGCTAAGGCCGATGTATGTAGTAGTGAGGACGAGATTCTCTTCCAGGGGCACATGTTAATTCAATTCTGTATCATGTATCTACATTTCCCGCGAAGCGATCTCGTGGCGACCATTCCGGGTGCTAGCAAGGTCATTCGTCAACAGCAGCTGCTGCCTATCTACACCAGGAATATGAATGGAGTTAAGGCTCTCGTGGCCTCGAAGCAGCTCATTGGGCTTGCTTCCTTGCAAATTTCGGTGCAAAAGCACACGCCGTTTTTCATCTGCGGCAATGTCTTTGCCGTCCTGGTCTAGCTATCTGCATGCTGTTTGTCCGGCACATATGGCACCCTGGATCAATTTCACGACCGTCTCTCACTTATCATAGGTATTCTCAAAACATTAAGCCCAATTTGGGCGTTGACGAAGGTCACTCTGCACAAGGTCAAGAGAATGGCAGCTGAGACACTGTCGCGGGACGACAACCACAAACCCGCTGCTGTGCAGCTTATGTCGCCCAATAATAGCAGGACAGATTTGGTTACGCACACGTACAACCTGCCCACTGATGATCTTCCGTGGATTGATCGATTTCGTTGGGGGTTCCAACGAGAGAACCTTGTAATTTTCGCCTACTTCTATACCCATGCCTTGTTGTTTCATTGTTAATCCTACTGTCCTCCTGGTGTTTCTGAACACATAGACTACAATTTTTGGCCACTTATGCGGCCTTGTGGCGTCTTTTTTTTGTGGTCTTTTTCGGTGTCTTCGATATTCTTTCTAGATGTCTTTTTTCTTTGAAAAGTCTCCCTCTTTTGACGCTAGAATTAAGGCTATGAAATCTGGCATAATCAGAAAGATTCTATATAAATACAGAGGGCTTTTAATCCTTGTCTTCTGCTAGCTCGTTTTATTTGATTCATACTTCTTCCCAGTCACTCTGAGAACTGATTTATCACCAAATCCCAAGACAAAAAGCGTTGTTCCTTGCTTAAGCTCCCCGATAAACCCTTACATCACGAGATATTAAAACAAAATGCCGCATCTTTGCTGATTATAAAGGGGTTGATCTCATGATTAGTGAGGTTGTTCGGACTCCGTCCAAATGCCCGGGAGCGCCCCTCGGCGCGGGCCCCACCACGACCCCGAAACTATTGAGTAAACACCGAACTATCGTGATCGTTTGTTAAATGACGAAATTCAGATAACTGTAGATCTTCGTCGCCTTATCTTCAGAGAAGAGCTACCACATCCCCGCACGTCTATCACTCTCTTGGTATACAACATAGAGCAATCATGGCAGAAGCAGACCATACCGGTATGTCCGCCAGCATTTTCTCCCAACCCCTCTCTCGATCACAGAGCAAAGACTGACCTAAGCCCCGCTATACGGCCATAGGATACAATTTCACATCCCGTACTCATCATGACACTTATCCCGCAATCGACCCAACCAAACGAGATCTCTCGTCCAAGTACATCTTTATCACGGGAGCATCAAAGGGCATCGGTCGAGAAACAGCACTGTCTTACAGTCGCGCAGGCTGCGCCGGCATCGCCGTCGGCGCAAGAACCAATCTGACCGGACTCGCCCCATCCCTTAGCGAGGCAGCCTCCGCAGCAGGGAAGCCCGTGCCGCAGATAGTAGTCGTGCCGTTAGACGTGACAGACGAGAAATCTGTCACAGCCGCCGCTGCAACAGTCAACGAAGCATTCCCGCGTCTCGACATCCTGATCAATAACGCGGGGTATCTAGAGAAGCGCGCTAAGATCGCCGAAAGCGACCCGGAAGAGTGGTGGCGGACCTGGAATGTCAATGTCCGGGGACCATATCTTGTCACGCGGGCTTTTCTACCACAGATTTTGGTAAAGGGAGGGGAAAAGATCGTTGTCAATCTCAGTAGCATTGCGGCGCATCTGATAGCTCCCGGTGGCTCGGCGTATCAGACCAGCAAGCTTGCCCTCCAGCGATGGACGGAGTTTCTGCATGTCGATCATGGCCCGGATGGTATTCTGACTTTTGCTGTGCATCCCGGCGGGGTGCCGACTGATATGGGAAAGCGGCTGCCGTTGGAGAGGCAGGTTGTGTTGACAGAGACGCCGAGACTTTGTGCGGATAAGCTTGTGTTTTTGACTGAGCGGAGGCGGGAGTGGTTGGCGGCACGGTATATATCTGTGACTTGGGATATGGAAGAGTTTCTTGAGAGAGAGGCGGAGATTATACAGAGTGATAAACTGAAAGTTCGGATGGTTATTTAATTCAAATTTCCAAGGGAAGTTAGGGCTGTTTGAGCACTAGACATAACCAAGAGTTGGCAACATCTCTGCGGTATCTCGCCAATCAAAACACAGTTCTGGACTTGGAAACCCCTGGATATCTTTATCTTTATCTAGCTTCATAGGATTCCCAGTAGATTGTTGGCTATCACTGTTCAGTGCCATTGATGGGAAAGAAAAGGCATAGGGGTGGGGGAGTGAGTTCCAGATCAAATGTTTTTAAAAAAAAACAATGAAAAGAAGCATCAGCATCTAAAAGACAAGCCTGTAAAAGACAATGGAAGCCGATAGCGGGGAAATCAGAGCACAAGCCAGCGTCACGGACGATGAAGTTGCAATGTAGTTGGTCAAAATACGCAAGCAAATATTCTATTGTGACGAGCTCAGGCTGACAGTGTAGAAACGTTCACCAAAAGTACACATCATGGTGCTGGCAATATTCCCTGCCATGACCCTGTAGAAATTCGAGAACTTGTATGTATTGCCAACAACGGTGTCGAGTGTCTGCGTTATATGGATGGTACTGAAGCCATTGGCACTGCTAGACAGTTGGGCTGCATAGTGGGTGTCATAGCCTGACACGATCGCACATCTGCCGCTACCTGTAGTGGTGAGTGTCTATGGGCTTACTTGGAATTGGAAATGAGGTTGAAACACACCTGCTCCTTCGCCAAAATTTGCAGCAAAATGTTCGGATCGGAGCACACAAGTGATTGATTCAAAAGGCTGTGGAGTGGACTATAGCGTCGCCGTGACCGTTCGTCAGCTGACAAGGGGCAATAACGTGTAGAATACTACCAAGGCCAACAGAACTGTCCTACTGGATACGATTGAACCAAATGATACATCAGATGGCATTTCTTCATTGTGTAGAGCTAAACAGTAAATCAAACACCAGCATGCTCAGATTATGAACACGCAAGAAAACATCAATGGAACACCCCCCCCCCCCCCCCCGACGTAGACGCCCGATGAAACCAGAGCAACCCAGCTAGGTGATGCCATTTCCTCGGCCCACCGTAAAGTTGATGGCTATGCAATTACGTATGATCGACAGATAGATAGCAGGATCGACTTAAGCCGTCGGGTCCCCGGCTCCAGTCCCTGCATCCTGGCTGCTGTGGCGATGGAACGGATGAGATCCAAAGTGGAGGACTTTCTTCACGGCGTTGGTAATGCTATTCTTCCTTCTGCCTTGCGGTGTCTCCTCGGCGGGGCGATCTGTGTTTTTCTTGGGCACAGAGGCATCATCGGCCAGAACAATCGATGTCACGGCTGGCTTTGGCGGCCACTGCCCGTCTGATTTCCAGCCTTGGACCATAGCTTTGGTCAAATGGGCAAGGTTTATGGGGACGGTCGGGGTCATGCCTTGCACAACGACCTTGGTGTAAATTGAAGGATAGATGGCGGGATTTATTGTTGCGCGAACTGGGTTGTCGTTGGAAATGAAAGGCGGCGCAACGGGACAAAGTGGTTCATCCAGCTCTTCTTCCAGCTTCTCCTCTTCTGTTTGGTCTTCCACGGCGGGCAAAGATGCAAATTGAGTAGGCGCATTTGCAGCAACTTTCTGATCCGGCTCTGTGATGTTGGTCTCTGAAGAGGCCTTCCGTTTAGCTCCCTCATCTGGCGCGGTAGACAATCCTTCCTCTTGATCATCTTGCTGACCAGAGGTCATATCTATCCGTTGCTGCAGCTCCGCACTCTTCTCCCGATCCGCGACGGAAAGCGACGTCTCGGTCCGGACTGCCAGATCAGAGGCGCCAATACCCTCACTGCTCCGAGCCGGAGGCATCGCAGATTGGGACGAACCAGACGACGAAGTCGCACTATTTTCTCCCAGCTCCACGCCATCGGACTGATCTGTTGTGTCTGCCTGTGCACCAGCCAAAGCACGCTTTTGCTCCTCCGCCCGAATCTGTCTCCGGGTCTTCGCGCCACACCACGCATCACGCCTGGCCATCCATACGCGTAACCCTTCGTTCCATGTCATTTCGTCGTCCACTTGTCTACGGCGTTTACGACGCCGCTCGATGCCCGCCGCCCCGGGGGCAAGGCTCATCACGGCTGACGGGTCATATTCTTGCTCACTATCTGAGCTCTGGGGCTCAAGTTCCGAAGTTGGGGTATCGAACTCTCGAACTCGCCATTCGCACACTTCGCGGTTGTGGCAAAGGGTACCGTCGGCGGAGGACGGAGAGGGAACACCAGTGTCGAAATCCCAGTCATTTCGAACAACTTCCTTGACGAAGACTTTGGCCATACGAACTGAGGTGTCCCGAGAACCAGTGGCCATCATTCTCACGCTTTGTTCTGGATGTGGGGGTTGCTCAGGTGAGAAAGTGGGGAGCTTTGGAGCAAGTTTTTTTTTTGCCCGAAGGTTTTTCTTGCTTGCCCGTGTACTCCTGCTCTCACTATTGAAAAGACGCAAAATTGAAAGATTCAAATGCAGCAACGCAGCAAGGAAGTCAAGAAGTCAAGAAGAAGTCAAGAAACAAAGAAGCAAAGAAAGGAAACAACTTTCGTCTTTTGCAACGTCAGGTGGCGGGACGATCAGACTCATGTCATATGGCACGTGCCCCAATGCGGAGATACAAGCCTCAACTTTCCATTTTCGTCTTTCTTTCATTTTTCTTGTCTATCGTCTTTCCTCTATTCAACTTAATTTTGAAAATGCCATAAGACCTGTCGCTTGCTCTAAATTCCGATCTCAATGTTCGTACAATGGAAACACAAAGTGGTTGAAGGCAATTGAAAAAAATGGCACCTCGACTATCGAGCCCAACATATGGAGTGGCGCAACGCCAAGTGGTGCTATTAATCCTGGTCGTTAGCTTACACTATACCAACCTTGGAAGCTAGTTATGATGAAGGCGCAGATATGGTATCATGCCATCTTAACCCCATTTGCCCTTTCAAAGACGCATCGAGAAATCTAATCGAGTGCGACTGAAAGCCCAGCGCAACATCACTATCTCATAACATTTTCTTGCCTGCTGTTCCTATTCAAGACTTGGTTTGATAGAAAAAATTCCTCTTCATGCGTGATGCTTTAGCGATACCGATGAAGTTCCTATACCCAGCTCCTCAATGACCTCCTTCATGACAATCGCCCATTCAAGGTCTTCCATGCAGTCCGCATCAATTGATGCCTTGAGATCAAAGATTTTGGTCAAATTTTGCCCACTGCGATGATATAGCAGGCACATCTTCAATAGAGTCAGCACATCTTAGCCACACCAATGGACACGCGAGTTGAAAGATAAACTACCTGGATTGGCGCGCAGCAAGGAGTCCAGTAGACGAAAATGGTATTGGTCCTGCACATCCAGAGACGACCATCAGCGAAAAAATCTATCAAGTCTTCGGAGTATTGTCTTACTGCTGCCCTTCGCTCCCAACCTCATATTCCATGTCGTAGACAGCATACCGTGGAGCCGGGTTCCCATCTTTGTCGGCTGCATGCCATAGCTTCAGGCGAAACATGTCCCAATCTTTCTCTGTAGATGTCTCCTCGACTACAATACTCTTGTAGTCGTCGGAGATCTTGTAGATGATGAACCTCGGTCTGGTAGCTTCTGACCCTGATCGGAGCTGGTTGAATGCAGATATGCATTCGCGTGCGACGGAAATACTAGTATTCATCGGTTAGTTGACATGTTCAGCATTGTTTTTTTCGAGCTGTAGTAATACTTCGATGGATCCTGTAGAAAGAAAGGCATTAGTGCTTATATTTACTACTTGTAGCGGATCTACTTGCCGACATCTTGGTGGTAGCTGGTACCTACAATTAAAGAATCTATGCAGTTAGAAGAGATAGACCGAACAGAATGAATGCTCTCTTGTGGTAGATGGGAAAGGGGGAAAAGAAGGAGCAATGAGCTACTTTTCTCGCCTTTTATCCCTGCTCCTACTAGAATTCCGTGTGTTTCTTTACATGATGCTTCTGTTGCATTCTATTATAGAGATAACAATGAAATAAGGATGCCCGTGTCATGTACAGGTGGGAACCTGATGAATATGCAACACAAAATGTCTCTGCCTGCAGCTCTATCAGAATTGCTTCCATGGGCAAACTCCAGCCGGAAAGCCTAGTGTATATTTCCACTGATTAGTTCCAATTGACCTTCTACACTAAGCACTCATCTATCTTCCGTTGATAGATAGAAGTCTCTCTTTGGGCAGATCTAGGTAGACAGGTAAAACCTATTTGAATTAGACCAAGGCATGGAAGATCTCCTAGAAAATTGCCATGCGCAAACTAAGCACGCTGGAGTATCAACGTTTAATGAACATGTGGAGGGAGAAGAACAAAGTTACCTCCAGCCCCATTCGAAAACATCTCATCTGAACAGGAAACGATGCAAATTTCTATTGCCCAAGAAATGAGTGGCAGTATATACATTTTGAGTAATGGTACAGGTCTATTATATCGCTAAAAGTACACAGGGAACCCCCAATTTCTCGCAATCCACGTAAGATAGCCCAGTATAAAAGCCGACAAGAAACATCCAATGAAACCAAAATCACGTCCGAACTCGCGCCGAATCAGCTGAAGCATCCCCACTAACACCGGGAATGAATCCCCATCCGGGACTCTTCTGGCGACGACCCTTACGATCACCGTACTGCTCGTCGAACTTCCGGATCGCTGATAACGAAGACATGTCCTCACTGATCGAAGCGCTGATCTCTTCCATTCCACGCTCGAAATGCGCACGAGTCAGAATACGGCGCTCCGGGTAGCGATATGGCTCGTCACCGGTATGCTTAGCCGCTGCGTCATTCTCCTCACGCACGCAAGCCAGTGCAGCAGCCACCGACAGATTCTTCAAATCGGAACCAGAATACAGCGGCGTACGTCGGGCGAGTTCAGCAAGGTCTACGGAAGGTTCGAGCTGTTCCTCTTTTAGGTGTATTTTCAAAACTGCTTCGCGGTCTTCCTCGGTTGGTAGATCGACTAGTAGGCGGCGGGGAAGACGACGGAGAACAGCGTCGTCTAGATCAAAGGGTCGGTTTGTGGCAACCATGATGAATGCTGAGAGGTCATTCATGCCGTCCCACTCCCGCAGGAACTGGTTGATCAATTCGCGGTGGGAGGTGCGGCTGCTGGCTCCGGTGCGCGAGCAGAAAATGGCATCTGCTTCGTCGATAAAGACGATGCAGGGACTAAGCTTCTTGGCAAGTGTGAAGATCGCTTTCACGTTCTTCTCGCCCTCGCCCACGTACATGTCGTACACTTCAGACCCGCTGACTTCGAGGACGGTTGCTCCGCTCTCGCGGGCTACGGCTTTGGCGAGGAGCGTTTTGCCGGTGCCCGGAGGTCCGTATAAGAGAAGACCGGGAATCTTGTCAGTGGCGAGGACACCATATGTGAATGCATCGGGACGGATGAGGGAGAGGGAGGTTAGTGTCTTCAGGGCGTCGATGGTCTCGGGAGGCACATGCACATCGTTGAAGGTGGTTCGGATGCTTTTTGCGTCAACGACACCGTTAAGCAGCTTTTTCTCGTGCGTGTTGCACGTTTTGCGTAAAGAGCTGATCAGCTGCTCTCTGGTCTGCCCCGCTTCCGAATCTTGCTGCTTGGGTGACTTCTCTTTCAGCCAATCATTCGTAACTCGGTCGCTTCTATCCATGAGCTCGATTCCTCGGTGGATGTGCTCAAACCCGAGGGGCTCGTTGGATTCAGCGCAGCCAAGTGCAAGGGTAGAAATCCAATGCACTTGATTGTACGACCAGTACCGATCCTCGATTCCTGATGCTTTGATGGTCGAAGGTTCCAGCGACCAAGCACGGTGACTCAAGATGTTATCTTTTACAGGTAGAGCTTGTTCATGTAATCGGAAGCGAAGCATGCTCTGCAGGTGGCGAATATTGATATCCATGGTGCGCTTCTTTCGATCTTCTGAGAAGACCTTTTCGGCGTCTTTTGAGCTCATGGCAGGGGTGATGAACAAGGTCTTCGAGAACTGATCATCGAGGACGTTTTGTAGCAAACCAGCACCATCTTGTGAAGGAGAATGATGGATTTCCTGCGAGGTAGTTCCGATCAACAGAATTTTGGATCCTGCCGCTCTCCGATCTTGGATGACTTTGTGTAGGAGAGTAATGAATTTGGACCCCTCTCGGGTGTTTTGAATGTCACGGTAGTCTTGAATATTCACGATAATGTCTTGAGTTGGCAAAGCCTTGCCAGCTTTCGTTTCGACATTTACTGTGGTTTCAACCGAAACTGACGGTGCTGATTGACCTGCTGAGCCGAGGAGCTCGTTGATTAGTTGAATCCAGCGGGTTTCAGTACGCTGACCACTTCGTGAGGCGCCGACCCCGGGATCCGGATCCGTTTGGCCATTAATCGATCCCCCCAGAAGGGTTTTCAAGCCAAGCCAGTTGGGAAGTGGGATATCACCCGCCTCCTTGCTGCTCTCGATTGTGATAAACCGAGGTGCGCTGATATCGCCGCGCATACCACGGGGACCACCTGCAATTTCAGTCACGTCATCCTCGCCATCTCCTTCGGGGTCTTCAAGTTCTGACCAAGAAGGTGTGACGGATTGCCGATATACATCATAGCCAAGAGATCGAATGGGTGAAGTTACCCCGACATCTGCGAGATCTTGCTCGCTGAACAGTTGGGCAATGTCCTGGGCATTAAGGGTCACCAGGTCAGTAGCCAACTCGTGGGCAAGCTTCTTCACCACCGCGTCTAGGAATGGTATGCCATCATTACCCGGGTAGTGCAGCGCCAGATGCGACTTCTTAACGGAAGGCTCTTTGGCATATTTCGCAGCTGGTAACCGCAAGCCTGCTTTGGCAGAGGCCCGCAGCTCTTCCCATGATTCCTCGGTAACCGCATACCGATTTTCTGGTGCTGCCGGTGGTTCACTGGATGCAGAAGGTTCGGAATCTCCGCCGGAAGCCTGGCTCTCAGTTTGCACCTCCTCCGGTTCCTGTTGTGATCCTGACTTGGTTATCTGAAGCTGTTGTAGTGATTGTGTAGGGTGGTCTTTGCTGCTATGAGAGACCTTATTGTGCTCGTAAAACCAGGCGGGAACGGCCACCGTTGACGGGGAAGTCTGCTGCGAGGATTTTCGGTTTCGCATCGCTCTGCGTACAGCAGATCCATAGGTTTTGGTGATCGACTTGGCCGACTCGGCAGAGGGAGATGGCGCCGGCGTGCCATTGTCGGAAAAATTCTCGATTTTGAGGGAGGGATCTTCGACAAAATTCCCTGGTGCTTTAGCCTCGGTGTCTTGGGGCTCTTGGGATGGCGATGCAAGCCATATTCGTGACAGATGGAATCGTCGCGCGGACAACGGTGCGGAATAGCGGCGGCGAGCAACAAATCGACAAGGGCGTGCAACCGACAGCCGGACTTGATGCATTGACGAATACATCCGGGGCACTGTCACCGAATCTTTATGTGATGTCACCAAGAGTTGTTGATATGTGCACCACGTCGCGAGTGGCGCAGGGTCCCTATCGGGCCCTACGAAGAAATACTAAGTCACGTGATTTTGAGCTTTCTTTCAGGCAGAATCTGCCTCTTGAAACATTGAGATTCCTATTGTTAGGTACCTTTCCTACGTGTGCTTTACGCCAAAAGCATTCTGATCTCCAACTTCTCAAAATATACGTGCAGATCGACATTCCATGGACGTACAATCTATGTTGTATATTGAATGCCAACAAGACAAGGTGGGTACTGAAACCCTCGAAAAACCTACCGCCAAATGGTGGATCCTACACAACGACGCATATTAAAGTCGAGTCATTTTGAGTTAGAGTTGTGTACATTCATTGATCGTACTATACCTTATTGTAACCCTACACTTCTGTTAAGCGGTATCTTGACTAAGGACCATTTTTGACATCGCTATCATTAATCCATGAATGAATTGACTTGACGAAGGCAACCTCTAAATGCCGAACCCCTTAATCCCCCATTGAAACCCCAAGAAAGACTAATGATAATTCCATTAACTTAGCCGATCGATACCCTCTCCGCGAGCCCATCTCGCGTTTAATTAAAGATATACTAAATTCTAGGATTTGTGGCTACCCCACGCAGTAACTCCAGTCAACTGCTATTTCGTATGACATTTAGGAGCTATGCAATATCTTTTTTCAAAGGCAGCACTAGCTCCTCTAGTGCCACTAAAGAAGGTGCTGTCAATGGAGGAAGTAAAGGAGAACCATGAAGAAGATTGTTTTAAACGAGACGGTCTCTTCAGTCGGATTAGGTGACTAAAGTCGACCATTGAACTATGCACTGTACCACTTGGTCATCCTGAGGAGAGCAACATGAACTGGCTATGCAGCGAGACGGTTCATCTTTTAGGTCCGGGTGATTATGTTCGTGATACATAAAACGTCTATTGGCTGTCTTTAACCTCGTTTTCAAGATGCCAGTATTGTGGCATCGTCAGAGAAGCCAACAACATCGAGAATTTATCACGATTTTCTATGAGGTAGGTAACGGTGAGCGAAATAACAATAAAAAACGATTTCTATATCAATCGACGCTTGAAAAGTCATGCATAATCTCTTCGGAAGATCCAATTTTTCAATGTTCCACGGACATCGAACAGTTGCAGATTTTGTTGAAGCTCCCAGCCAAATGCTAGAATATTGGTGTTGTGTCCTTGACTGTTCCAAATGTTTAGTTTCCAAGGTTACTTCGTCTTCGATAAGCAATGGCCTTCCACTCTGATGCAGCCCCCTAAGGGAATCCCGGAAAATCTGGTCCGCAGCCTCATTGCAGCTAAAAAGGTCAATCAACGGATTCTCACTCTCGAGAAACTTGCATTTAGCAAATTTGTTCTGCTAATTCACTGCCTTAGTTTGTACCATATCATTTAGTCGATCCGTACTGGTGAAAATTATGGCACACTCCTACAGAAAATGACACTTCTATAGGGCCCTGAAAATATTAGAGACTGGGGGGAATGGATATGTTGCTACTTCATACTATCTGTGAGGCCAAGAAGCAAACTATCATTCCTATCTCCAGTATGTTTTACCGCCATTTATAGAGAGAAGTTTGCTGGTTGTTAACTCATCTTCTAGCACCCGTATGTTGGCGGCATACCTTTGGTTCCCAATTTTCACTCCAGTCCAATGAGCCCTGGTGCTGGTCTTCGGTACTGAAAGATTCAATGGAACAATTCGATTACGAGTCTGAGATCTGGATTTTGCCCACACCTAGAAAGGCGTCGATTGATCCATACCGAGAAGGAAGATTAAACGTATTTCATGGCTGTGGGAAGATTTCCCTTCTCGTGCGCTGGAATGATCTCGTCTTAGTTTTATACATTGCCAAGGCAAAAATATCACGGCCAGCACGATTGGCTATTGATGCACTAAATTTTGCCCATAATTCTCAATTATGTACCTAGTCAATTTTTTGGAATAGAAGAGAACGATATTCCAAGTTCCCATCATCAACAGCGTTATCACTCAATAGTTCCTAGGGATTAAGGGTAAAAATGTGCAGTTTCTGCGTTGTTCAGCTATGTTGTACGTGGTTAATGGATAGATGTGAGAAGATTCCATTGTTTTTTTTTACCCCTCGTATGGTAAGAGCACTTAAGACATAGCTATGTACCCATAGTGGCAGTCCATCCGCTTTCTAGCACAATGCCAACCCTTCTAGGAGATGCTTTATCGCTCCTATCGGAGTACACTTAAAATCTCCTATACGCCGAGTCGTAACACCCCCGCAGGATCAATGGGACCATAGCCACATAGGCTTTGTGTAGGTCACCAGATACTATACTGAGACAATCTTACAATTCTCTAGCATTAAGGCCTAATGCCCAGGAGAAAGACAGGGAGCTGGGGGAAAACTTTCCACAGACCAAGATCTTGGTTGACTTTGCTAAGTGGAAACGTCCGAAACAGCTTTAATCCTCACCTGTCTTAAATGAAGCGTATGGCATGTTTTCTAAATCTTCACTTGTTTAACTTCTACGTTATGTTGCACTGTTCTCTGGTATACTCTGTGCAGGCTTAGGATGGCAGGCGTGATTTGGTGATCTTCAGTACAACAACTCTACCTTCCTTCTGATTTTAATTGCGGGCTCCCAGGACCAAAGATACAACAAGTAAGCGGTTTGGTATGTGTTAGATATGTGTCCGTTGCAGTCTGTACCCGATCGGTGCTCCACATGCTCCGTAATTCCTCCGGAATTGAACTTTCAAGGGCCTGATGAAAGACACTTACGCTGTGTACTCACTGGCGAGCACGGAGTGACATATTCACCTATAAGAGAAGGCATTTGGCTAGGTTTGGCAGCTATGATTAAACACAAAAGGCACCTTGACCGGATTGTATGTAGCCTAGAGATAACACTAGAAGAGGTTCATCAACCGTGAGGTAGGCACAGCTAAGCACCGGGAACTACAAGAGTTACGTGTTTCAATTTTTTTTTTAAAAAAAAGAAAATTTTTCTGAAGTTTTCCCACAACTATATACATCCAGACAACACACAGGTGTAATAGCGAATTGATCATCAGAAGGAAGGCAACGGAAATCTCTACACGGTTTTGCGCATTCAGAACAGGTCTGTGAGTTTACATCCGAAAATTTTTCGTCACTTGATCAATTCGCTATTACAACGAGCGATATCCTTCCATAGCATCGTGGTTCATGTTCGTAACTAGACTGAGAACAATGTCAGTAAATTGATCAAACCAAACATGGTAAAGATGCATTGCAATGTAGAAGTTCTCAGACAAGATATACTGGCAAGTAGCAGACCGACCGGGAAGGAAGGTCCGAAGTGTCTCCGCATTGTCGATTTGGAAGGTAAAGAAGTAAAGTGTTTTGTCATCCTTGAACGGATAGGAAATGCAAATGCAGAGTTGAAATGATCAGAAAGGATATAAACTCACATTAAGCGCATCACATTAAGCGCATCACATTAAGCGCAAGGTGCTTGCACCTGACCTATCAGGTTAGTGGCGAAATTGAAGCATCGTAAGATGCATCTACTGTTGGCATTGGGTCATGCTATCCTCAGGAGTCAGGTGCAATCAGAATCAAGAGAGCTCCGGAAACCTGAGGAACAGAGAACCACAGAACCAAAAGTAATTCACAGTATTAGTAGGCCTCAGAGATGACAATCTGCAGCCGGTGTGAAGAAGGAGTGACTCTTAAGAAGAGTCTTCCCAGTCATGTAGCATAGAAGAGATGAGAGACAAAGAAGAAAACGAAGGAGAAAAAAAAAAGTTGTGAAGAAAAAGCCGCGAAAATCACACGTGACCTCCCAATTAGGAATAGCGTGTGAATGGGTGCTGAGGAGAGAGAAGAGAAGGGGAAAAAAGCCTCCAAAAGGGAAAAAAAAGAATGCTTTAAGATGGGGCTTATACTTTAAGTTCTATAAAATTTCCCGGCTTCATTGTAGTCCTTTTTTTTTCTTCTCTCTATCCTGGTCTCTCTTGGATTAATCGCGTTGTCGACTCGGTTAGATCCTCCACCTACGGACCCGGATTCTCCGTCCCCAGTTCTCTCACTCCCACCGGGCGATCATCCTTAATTCCTGACTTGGGTGTTCGCAATACAATAGCCCCCTAATATTCAGATCCCTTAGTAAAACTACTCGTGAGTTATGCCTCTTTGGGATTTTCAGACTGATTGGAGAGCCCAGCCCCTCCACGCTTCTCTCCCCTAGCCCCGTCACTTTTAACCTTCATCCCCGACATCTTCTCTTATCACTCCCCACTGACCACCCATTTCTCTCAGAAAGGAAAAAAAAACCCCCCTCATTTCGCGGGTGAGTGACTTGGCCAGGAGGCCCCCCGATCGATCTTTCAGCACCTCGCGTCTGCTGAATACCGGTCCAAGTCGCTCGCAACGTCTTGGCCCATCCCCGAACGCTAAAAGCGGCCTGTTGTCTTCCCACTTCAGTCGCGCTCCACGCCACGTTTCGCCCACTGCATTTCGCCATCGCGAGCTATTACTTTGAGGTCCCCCATTTGTGGTGACATCGTCGCTCAGCAATGATGATGACGCAGCCGTTTCCTGCCCACCAAGGCATGCCGCAACATGGGTTTCCCCCCGGTCACCCTATGGCCGCGCAACATCCAAATGGACACCCCGGCTCTGGAATGGTACAGCAAATGCACCCTGGTGTGGCTGCCCCGGGAGGACCTCAAGTCAGCCAAGCGGGCCCGATGATGGGCGGCATGGCTCCGGGCGCTGGGACAGCTGGTCCTGGTGGCCCTGGCCCAAATGCTCATGCCCTCTCCCACCTGAATCCCGCGCAGGCGCATATGCTTCAGACATCCCAATTCCAACAAAACTGTCAGTATTAAACCTTCTAGTTGCTTATCACAATGGTGTACGAGGTGTGATGTTACGGGACACACGATCGGCATTGTCTGCGGTGACTTCTTACCCCCGCTACACCCGCGTCTCTTTCAGTCGTTCTTGATGGCATGCTTACATCCTGACAAATTCATAGTCGCAAACAATCCCCATCTAATACACCAACACCAGCAACAGCAACAACAGCAACAACAGCAACAACTAATGCGGCAACGATTGAGTAGTCAACTCCAACACCAACAACATCAGCAGCAGCAGCAGCATCAGCAGCAACAGGGTCTCTCTGTATCAATGCCAAACGGTACACAAGGGCTCAATGCTGCTCAAATGGCTGCAATGCAAGCGAACCCTGGAATGCGACCCGTCAATATGATGCACATTCAGCAGCAAATTCCATATGGCCAACCGCCAAGTCTTCAGCAGCAGCAGCAATTTTTCGCTATCCAGCAGGCTCAGCAGCAGGCTCAGCAGGCTCAACAGGCTCAGCAGGCTCAGCAGGCTCAACAGGCTCAACAGGCTCAGCAGGCTCAGCAGGCTCAACAGGCTCAACAGGCTCAACAGG